CGGGAGTGCTCTGGAGCCGCCCTCGGGAGCTGCAGGCCCTTTGCCGAGGGCTGGCGCTGGCCCTCGCGTTGGATCAATCCCCAAGAGCCACCCGCGGAGGCCCCCGTGCTTGCTTGCTGCGCCCACGCGTCTCACTTCAAAGGCTAAGCGGGTAAACTTACTACTCCTGTGCAATCCCCGCAAGGGAAAGGTGGGGCCGGCTTCCCGCAAGGAGCCCCTGCCTTGCAAAGAGGCAGGAGGGAACTCGCAGGCCTGGCCTGGCCTTGCCTTGCCTTGCTGGCGGTTTCTTCCTCTTGACAGTCTGGAGGGAGGGAGGGAGGCACCGCGGTGTTGCCCCGGCTGGCACCGTGCCCTTCCGCTTTTCGGCTCTCCTCTCGGGCTCTTAAAAACATTGCTGCTTCCTTCTGACGTCGAGTTGGGGGAGGCAGTGCAGTCCTCTACAGCTGGTTTTATGGGAGACAACATATCCCATAATCCCCCACCATCAGCAATATCAGAGGTGCAGCCGCCCACTCAGCCCTGCCCTTGTTATAAATGGGGGGGGGGATAGAGAACTGGGCTGGATGTGCCCCACCTCAGTGCTGTTGTCCACCCAGGCGTCATCTGCCACATCAGCACCAGAGCTGCCCAAAGAGCATCACGGCCTTCCTGTAGCACCCTCCACATCTGTTGGGACTACAGTTCCCATCATGCCCACCCGGGAAGGGTGGCCACCTGGCCCCTTTCCGACAGGACAGTCCACCCTCTGAAAGACTGTCAGAGGGCCCTTGTTTTCGTGCAGGTGTCTTCTCTTTTCGAGGACCGCCCGCTCCCAAGTGTGGTTGAAAGAGACTCCTCATCCTGGGCCATCTCTGACTCGCCCTGACTCTCTTTTGGGGCTTTCCCGGGAGAGAGTGCTCAGAAGGGCTTTCCCAGTCCCTTCTTCTGGGAAGATCCTGGGACTGCGCCCAAGGCCACCCAGGCTGGCTTTTCTCCTGGGAAGCACAGTGGGGGAATTGAACCCCCAACCTCTGGCTCTGCCGCCAGAGACCTAAACCCACCACTGGAAGACAGAGCATCCATCCTTAAGGAGAGAGAGAAAGAGGGGATCTTGTTCATCCTTCCGCCGGGAGCAGCCGGCAGCCGAAAAGAACCCTGCTCACAGGCTTTCCCCCTCTGGTGAGTTGTCTTTGTGGTTCTGTTCCAACTCTTGGATGTTCTCTAATTTGGCGTCTGCACCTATAAATCAGCACGGGCCGTTTTATGCCACCCCATGCCCCCTCTTTTGTTTCCCTTTTGGTGTTGCATTACGTAGCTGCCCTGCCGGGAGTTGCACTTGATGGGTCTGTTGTGCCAAGCCTAGCAAAAGCCAGACACACTCAGGGGAGCTCCAGCCCTCTCTTCCTGAGCCCAGTGGGGCTCAGGGACAACACAAGATGCACGGGGGGGGGGGGGGGGGGGGAAGAGGTGGGCCTGCCCCAGCATCTCTCTTGCACTGCTGCCTGAAAGGCTGGAGTCTGGGAAATGCCTCTGCTGGGAATCTACCTTTTAATTAAGTGAGTGAGCAAGCCTCATTAAACCATCCCGAAGCACCGTCCATTTTACAAGCAGATACACCGCCATGACTTAACTCTGATTTATTCCTCCCCTAAGCCAAGCCGGGAGACTAAAAAAAAGGTGGCGCACAGAAGAGGATTGCCAACCTTTTAAACCATGCCCGTGCATTTAAAACAGCAACCCATCACGGCATAGCTCTCTGATCATTTCCTTTTCATGCCTTGCTAAGCAAGGGCTTTGTTGAGGTGACTTCCGCGTAACTGGGCACTCTCTAAAATGTGTGGCTGTGTTGAGGTGGGGGAACAATGAACAACTTGGAGGGAGCTGAGCAAGAGAGGTTGTGTGACTGGCCCTCTGCTGTCAAGGATAGAGGGGAACCTTCTGCCCAGGCAGCACGGCATCTGGCCGGCCGTCAGTCCAGATGCAGAACTTGGCAAGAACTCCCCACCTCCCACCCCCCCGTGAATGCAACAAGGAGAGAAACGGCACCCATCATGTTCAGGCAGTGTTGGGGATCGCAAGCCACGCTACCCAAGATGGCGTGTGCCATCAATCAGGCAAGCTCTCTGAGGCAGCCATCCATACCGATCTCATGATAACCAGGTTTTTGCCACTTGGCCTTCTCTCTCTTCTTCGCTGCGGAAGTCTGGGAGGAGCTCAGGACGTGGCTCTTGTGAGCGGAGCTGAGCCTTCTGGCTCCATCTTCAGCCCTTCTCTGAAAGATCACAAGACTGTCAAGAAAGGGACCATATTTGTTCTTCTGGCAAAAGAAGATGCTTTGCTTTAGCTAGCAGATGTTATGATCTAGAGGAGGAAGGAAAACTTGGGAGGGACAAAATCTCCACATCAGCCCTTGAGTGTGAGGGAAAGGCTATATATGTAAAAACATCAAATCCAGATTTTGCTGGAAGTCTGGTTCTGGTTTACGTCATGGATTTTGGGTGGGAGGAGATGATCCCCATTTTAATCCAAAATTGCCATTCCAGGAGGCATCCAGGAGAAAATGACCTTTTGTAGATTTTTATTTCCCCACCAAAGAAAACACTATTATCATAACCCTAGAACTGCAGAAATGGAAGGGACCCTGTGGATTATCAAGTCCAGCCCGTCAAAAAGGGGCTGGACTTGAACTGAACTTCCAACCTCTGGCTCTGCAGCCAGAAACCTGAATCACGGAGCTATCTTGCTCACAGGTGAGTTAGGTTCACAAGCTCCATTCCTGCTCTTCTCCGCTTCTCTCTCTGCTCTGCTCCACCTCCTTCTGGCCCTGCAACCACCATTTCAATCCAGCTGCTCCTAGTCGCCCAATTTTGCAACCCTGGGGGGTGTCCCAGAGTCCCAGACTGCACTGCCACGTCCTGTTGCACCATGAAAAGACTGTGTTCCCTCCCATTCTTTCTAATGCAGATCTCAAAAGCTGTCGCTCCCGTTTATGCTACTCTAGGCACTCTGAATGGAGTTGGCCCCACAACTGTCTGAAAAAGCGTAGAAGGAAAGGAAGAGGAGGCAGCTGAGCTACAATCCACTGTTGTGCCCCAAAAAGACATTTTACCACTTGAGGGAAGTGGCACTGTGCAACCACTCAAGAGACATTTTAGACTCATGGAAGCACTCCTGAGAAAAGATAGCCAATAATCATTGCAATACATACGTTTACTTTTTACACTAACAAGCATCAACAGAAATACCAACATATCTCTCCTACTCTGGCCATGCTGCACTGGCTGCCCATCCGTTTCCACATTGACTTCAAAGTGTTAATGCTTACATATAAAGCCTTAAACCGTTTAGGACCTCGATACTTGGCGGAACGCTTACTCCCAACTAGTTCTACCAGTGTCCCCCGCGCGAGCCAGGAGGTGAGGCTGAGGAGCCTGACGCCGAGGGAGGCCCGGAAAGAAAGAACTAGAAACCGGGCTTTCTCGGCAGTGGCTCTTCGTCTCTGGAATAACCTACCTCCGGAGATGCGTGCTGCACCCTCGCTGGGTACTTTTAAGAACCAACTAAAAACATGGATGTTTAGGCAGGCCTTCCCTTCCAGTTAATTCCTGTCCTCTTTCCTTTTCTCTCTCTTTATTTGATTAATTTTAATTTCCCCATCTTATAGAATCATTTAATTAATTAATTGTTATAATTTTTTTAAGAACTTGTTATCCTTATGTTGTAAGCCACCTAGAGTGGTCGAAATGACTAGATAGGCGGAGTATAAATACAATAAATAAATAAATAAAAATATTATTTGTTGGCCTTTGGTATCCTGGAGAAGTGCTTCTGCCTTCTGCTAAGCTCAAGGGAGGAAGGAGAAGAGGGATCTCAGCGGAGGTATGACTTGGCAGAACCACTGGATGACAGACTGCTGTATTGTAGGGAATTACTGGCTCACGCCTCCTTCCTGGAATCTCTTCCCAACCTTCAGTGTTGGCAGCCGAATCTGCCCTCAGAACAACTGCTGGTCATCCCCAAAATGTGTAACAAATGCTCTGTGCGAGAGATCACAAAGTTTACAGCTCAAAAAGATTGCAAGATTGAGCTAAGAGAAAAATAACCCCAGTAAGACAAAGAGATTTCTGGGTCACGTCCCTGAAATCAAGTCTCACACCAATACAAGAGTCGTTTTTTCTCCATTTCCCTCCCTGTGGCTGACAGTTGCTCCTGACCTGAGCAGAGCTGGGCAGGAAGGCTTAGCCACCACTGGCTCCATTCAGAACCTTGTGGGTGTCACATGAAGGAAACATCACATCACTCTTTTTTCCCAAATGGGAAGATCAGGCTGGATAGAATTTGAATGGATCTGGCGGGGGAGAGAAAGTACTAGAAGCCTCCCATTTTCCGGGTGGGTTTAGGGTCATGAAAGTTTTACTCCAGTACATTTGGAAGGCACCAGCTTAGGGGGGAGCAAATGCTGAACTCTGTCAGTGTAACTAAAACCAGATAAGCAGGAATTCACACAGGAATGGGCGTAGGCATTCTGAAGTTTATGGCACAAAAGCGACTAGACAACAGTATACCAAATATTAATTTTCTTGAAAACACAGGGTAATTTCAGCAGCAGCCACTTCCCATTAGCTCAAAGAGTCTTATGAGAGCCCGGAAATGTCAGTAAGCGCGTTATGTCAATCTCAGCCAGAACTGAGGATAAGTATAAGGCAGAGAACTGGCCATGTTTTACATGTGAACGTGGTCCCTCTGTAGGAAATCTTACCTCCGTCTGGTCCACGTACACACAGAGCATTGTAAGAAAAATATTTTTGAGAGGCAGCCCAGCCCAAGGGAGAGGAAGCTTCCGTTGTTCTTCCCGTTCCAATCTCAGACACAGGTTACTACAGGCTGTATCACATCTTTTAAAAGCCGTTTATTTCTATATTTTAAAAAATGAACACACCAAGAAGTGGCAAGGATGGCGACTACTGTTCAACACACACACACCCCAGGGTTTTCTTTTCATTTTACAACTCATAACAGAGAGATGGACAGTCCTTGTGCTCCTTGGACCTTTCTACCAAGTCTGACAGACCAAAGTACAAGGTTATGGCAGGCACTCTGCAAACCAGCCAGACTGATGATGCTGACGATGCTGCAGGAGGAGGAGGAGCTGACCCAGCAGGGGCCCAGAACTGCAAAGGACTCCATCCGCTACCCAGCCTGTTCCTTTTTTACTTAGCCATTCAAGGAGAATTTGCTTATCCTCATCACCTTGTTTCACACACAACCCACCCCTTTCCATCTGAGAAACAGTTAGTAGATCACTGTTTGTTGATCTGTCTTCTGCATCTGGATCATCTTCCCAAAGCCGCCTCTTCCCACATCATAGTCTGTCCGGTACTCATCTCGGACCTAGGGAGAGGTGAGGAAAGGTCGCAGCTCTGTCATAAAATTGGTTGAACATTTTTGTTCAGGTGCTCCTTCCCCAAGTCCATTTAGGGTTTACCAAGCTACAGAAATCCTGGTCCATACAACCTGAAGTCAGTATTATCACAGTGCTTCTGGAAGACCGTGTGGCAGCTTAGATGGCTTTCTAGGGAATAGGAGTTCTGTGCTTTGACTACAAAGCACAGGTGCCTCTTCTCTTGGGTGATCTGAAGCCTGGGCTGCCTCTCTGCCTGCTTAGGAGTCCCAACTGTTAGAACATTTGCCTGGGCAGAAATCTTTGGCCAGCAGTCTCCCTGTTGCAACTGTACAGTGCTCTCCCCCAGCCAAGCAATTCCTACCTGGCCACCTGTCTTGCCACGGCCATACTGCCGCCCTTCTTTGAACCCGGCATCCCAGTCAGTCCGGATGATGCGATCGTCCAGCCGGGTTCCGTCGATGAACCGCATGGAATGCTCAGCCTCCGCTCTTGTGTAGTATCTGGCAGGTCTCCTTAAGGAAGACTCAGGGGGATCCTTGGAAGGGCCCGAGCTTGCTTAAGAAGGGGCCACCGGGGAGCTTACATCAAGCAGCCCACTTCTAAACACGTTTTCTAGCTCTCCTCAATACACAGTAGGCTCTGTATGAAAGGGATGCTAGATGTGTGGCCAGGCATCTGCTCTACATGCAAAAGAGCCCCAATTCCAGTCTTCAGTCCATTGCCTTCTTGTTGCAGCCTTCCTTCAGTGAGCTCAATGTGGCAAACAGGGCACTGCTCCCCCCCCACACGCCCTTAAAAAAGGGAAGAAGAAAAAAAACGTTGCAAGGCAGATCCAGCAGATAGGATCACCAACTGAGTTTCAGAGCTCACTTGAAAAGCAAGAGCTAGGTTTCCCCAAGTATCACAAACTCACATCAAGGACTACACCACACCGACTATGAAATGAAGAAGCCACGTGACCCTCTTCTGCCATTCAGAATGAACAGTACGGTAGGACCCCCATCTCCATGGGAGATCAGTTCCAAGCCCCCTCCCTGATGCTGAAAAATGCAGATTATAGCCAATGCTATTTTAATAGTGAATGCCACATATGGCATGGTCTCTGACTCCCTTCAGTAGCCAGTTCTGGTGACTTCACCTTTAGAAATACATACTTCTAGATTTCTTCTTTTAATATTCTCAATACTGACATTGTGGATGAATGAATCAGCAGACATGGATCCCGCAGATACGGGGGTCCTACTGTACAGGGCTAGATGGCACCGCCATAGTCTCAGTCAGGGTAAGGCAGCTCCCTATGTTCATGGAAGCCACTCATATCCTCGAAAACGAGGATGCAATTGCAATAGATAAACAGATGTAAGAGTGAACGAGGAGAAAGAGCACCAGACTGAGAGATACGTGACTGATCACCCTTTTCCTCAGCATGCTAGATGCTTTCCTGCAGGGAGATAAATACAGTGGTGCCTCGCATTACGACGTTAATTCGTTCCAGCGAAATTGCTGTAAAACAAAAACGTCGTAATGCGATTTTAAAAAGCCCATAGAAACGCATTAAAATCCGATTAATGCGTTCCTAGTGGCCTGAAACTTACCGTCCAGCGAAGATCCTCCATAGTGCGGCCATTTTCGCTGCCTGTGCAGCGAGGAATCCGTCCTAGAAACCAGCGGGCGGCCATTTTGTTTACCCGGCAGCCATTTTGCAACCGCCGATCAGCTGGCCGAAAATCATCGCTTTGCAATGATCGGTTCCCGAAGCAGGGAACCGATCATCACAAAGCAAAATTACCCCATAGGAAACATCGTTTTGCAATCGCAAAAAGATCGACGTCTAGCGATTTCGACGTCAAACAGAGCGCCCGTTAAGCGCGGCACCACTGTACGCTAGATTAGTCCCGTGTGGGCCTTGCCAGGCCCTACCCAAAGACTGTCGTTCTAGGCCAAGGATACTCCACAAAGCAGAAGCCACAGGGCGTCTTCTTCACTTTGTCCAGCCCCATGACAATGCGCTTGACATCCCCACATTTGGAGAAGAGTTCGTGGATCTGCTCCTCGGTCGTGTAGAAGGACAAGTTACCCACATAAATCGTGCAGGAGTTCTTCAGGGCTTTTTCCTGCAGGTAACAGCTCCCCTGAGAAAGAAACCAGGGAAAGGGAGTCAGTTCCACAGCTCCATACACCCTGTTCAGATAAAATTAAAGGCAGAGGAGCCTACCTAGGTTTGACAACTAGTTTCTTTTGAAGGTCTACAACATTCTCAAAGGTCTACAACATACTACAGAGCGCCCAAAAGCTCACTCTCTCCAGTGGTGGTCCACCTTAACAAGGGCTGGAGGAAAGCTGCTGAAGACAACTTCAATGCACAGGCAGGGTGGTTAGGAAAACAAGAGTTCCTGCGGACTCTGAAGGTAACCACATTCATGCAGAACTGGGCTCAGAAATGGGTTGATGTTAACCCAGTTCTTCCAGTACTCCCACAGCCCAGTAGCTACATTTTGAACTAACCGAAGTTTTCAAAAAGGCTTTAAAAGAAAGCCCCATCACAGCAGCCAATCCACAATGTTACAGGAACACAGGGCCAGGAAGAGGAGGAAAAACATTCAGAAGTACAACACTAAGAAGCTGGACATGGAGACATTCTATGAAAAAACACTGAGCTGAAATGAGCAGGAAAGAAATATCTTGCCTGCATGGTCACTTTGAAACCTGACACTATTCCATTTTAAAAAATTATAGTCCTCGGCTGGTTTCTCCAAGGCGCTGACACTCAGGAATGCCGGTGCTCCTCCCTTGCCCAGATTCAAAAAAACACACTAGGAGCCCATTGTCGGAAATGAATATATTTCTATTATTTAAACGAAAAGCCATTTTGCACTTTAGGTAGGGTCTCTCCCTTGTCACCCAGCCTGCATGGAAAGAAAACTCCTCCTGGAACAGGAAGCGAGCACCCACGGGCTGGGTCCGGGTCGGTTGCGCTCCCAGGGTCACAGCAGAGAGCACAAGCTCTTCTTTGGGGAACCGGGGGTGGGGGTGGGGGGGAGAGGAGAAGAGGCGCAGCTGGGTCCCCCCCAGTGCAAGGCCTTGCTCCTTTATTTCCTGGGGAAGCGCCGTCCCAGCCGCGGAGAGCCTCCTCGGCCCCAAAGGCCCTGATCCAGCCCCAGTGCAGGCCCTCCTCCAGCAGGCTGAAAAAGGGGGAAGAGCCCCCCCCCACGCCACCTCTCGGTGGATCCAGCCCCGAAAACACCTGCCCCCAAGCCTTTGTTCGCCCGCTCCAGGCTGAAAAAGGGGGAAGAGCCCCCCCCACGCCACCTCTCAGTGGATCCAGCCCCGAAAACACCTTCCCCCAAGCCTTTCTTCGCCCGCTCCGCCCCCTCCTGTCCCAAAGAGCAACAAGCTCACGAGCATGGGCAGAGGGCTTCCCCACCGGGCCCAACCAAGCGTGGATTCTCCTCCATGGGGCAAAGGGCCTCTGGCCATGTGCAGAGCGCTCCCCACCCCCACCGCTTCCCCCCCCTCCCTCCAGCAAGCGCAGAGGGGCCATCACCCTGTCCTGCCTTGAAGTGCTGGTCGCGGTACACGCTGATCTCGCAGTACGAGTCGCTGTCCAGCCCGCGCAGCGTCGTGTTCAGGAGACTCGACATCTTGAACGCGCAGCGATGACGACGTCGCCGCCCCCTTTTTATGCCCCTCCGGCGGCCCGGCGAGAGCCGATTGCTTCTCCGAACTGCCACTCAGGGCAAAGCCTCGCCCTTACGCTTCGACAGCGTCGCGCGCAAGGGAGGAAGGGTAACCGTCTCTCGCCGCAAAGGATGCCGGAGATTGTAGTCTCTTTGGAGTGGGCGAGGCTTGGGCGGGAGTTTTCATGCTCCGGGGAGAAGAGGCAGCCTAGCCCCTCCCCCCGCCTCGCTTTCCCTCAGGCGGTCGGAACGCTTGGGCTGTACCTCAGCCTGCCTGCCTGCCTGCCTGCAGCCGATATTAATTTACAAACCACATATTCATTTACAAATAAATTGTAAAGAATAATTTACAAATAGCAGGGATAGTAACAGGGTTTTAAAAAAACACCAGAACAACCATTGCTCCTCCTTCACTTCCCCGACTTAAAGCACTTCAGAAAAGGTGCTCGAACACGTGTAACAAGAGAAGTCTATGATCCACAAAACGGGGAAATGAATCAGGGGCGCTTCAGAGAAGGATGATTCCAGTCAGTCTGTCCCTGCTGAGCTGCTGGTTCAGACGTGGGGCTTATTGAACCCCAGAATGTGGGGCTGAATCCCTACAAACCTCCCCCTCACCAGCCTTCCTACTTAGCCCATGCTTTGCCTGCAGATATAATGGGGGTGGGTGGGGGGCACGAGGAACAAGAGCTTATGGAAACTCCCCTGCTAACCCAAGGGGACCTTTTTATTTCTTTATTTACACGTTTCCAACATCAATTTTGGGGTCTTCCACAAAAGTGCAGGAAAAGAACTCCCTCCTTCCTAAAAGAACAATCACAATGCCTCCCCCCCCCTCTGTCTGGAAAAAAAAAACAATCCTTATATCACTGCTTGGTTGTTGTTGTTGTTGTTTTTCTTTTTCCTAGTTTCTAAGTTTCCTCATAGTTTCTGAAGAGCAGGTTTGGGTGTGAGCCTGGTTCGGCTCTGAGATTCCCTGCCTTTTCCGTTTCTGTGTGTGTATGTGTGGTGAACAACACTCCTCAGGAAAAGCACCCCATTGCATGTGGACCCCACCCGAGGCTTCGCTTCCAAGGGCCCTTTCCAGAAAGAGGAAGAAGGCATATGCCCGTTTTTCACCTAGATTAAGGCTCCTTGCCTGGTCAGAGCTGAGGCACCATGGCTACAAACCATTAGGCACACCCAAGGAGGTCCTCCTTCAGGAGAGAGATTCGGATTTTGGGGGTTCAAGGAGGTCCTCCTTCAGGAGAGAGATTCAGATTTTGGGGGGTTTTGTGTCTTTGTGTGTGTGTGTGTGTTTTTTTAATAAAAAGGAAATAAGGGCTTCCCCATTGCCATGAAGTTTTTCCAGAAACATCAGGAGTTTTATAAATGATACTTAGGAAGTGGAGGGAAGAAAAGGAAGCAGGTGGCATGAAGGAAAGGCACCAAAGTACAGTATAGTATAGGCAATGGAGGGAGAAAAGGGACGCTGAGGGGAAATGAGGTAGGAAAGTTCATAAGCAGATGCTGTGGAGACCCACTGGCTTGGACTAACCAGCCACTAAAAAAGGAGAGAAGCTTCTATTCATTTTGGTCCCAGGCCTCTAATCGAGCAAGAAGCAGTTAACTTTCAACCATCCCCAGACTCCAACAACCATGTGGCTGGGAGATTATGGGAGTTGTAGGCCGCCCCAAGGTTAACTCTCCAAAATCTAGCCTAAAATGGTGGGCTCATTATCTGTGGGAAAGTGGAGCCAAAGCATATAAACTACGTAGAACACCAGATATGAAAAGTTTATTTTATTTTAATATGTGCCTTAAAATAAAAATATACTATATGGAACCAGCCACAAAAATTGTGGCCCTCCAAAATAACATGCACACGAAGAGCCTCCGATAGTATTGCCAAGTCAACACATCTCTTCATAGGTCGACATGAGAGGTTGAGGGAATCACTGAAAGAATCAGTATAATTATTATTACAATACTGAATAAAAAGGGAACCATATCTTGCAAAATTAGTCTGTACTGGAATTCTGGTACATTAATTGTGAGTGTGCCCTAAGTTTTTCCATTAATGCCAATTTCAAAACTCCAGAGTCCCAAGCACTTATTGAAATCTCTACTGCCACTTTTGTTTGTCTAACCACTACGCATGGAAAAGCTATTAGATGAAATGTTGTTAGATAACATCAAGTTATTTCCAGTTTATGGCAATCCCACATGTTAGTGACCCTCAAAGTGTCATATTGTTAACATTCCTGCATATGAAATTAAAAAATATAAATGCTTTCCTGTTTCTTTTAAAGGCTCATTTTATACTTTGGAGGAGTCAATGAGGAAAAACTCATCATGGAAATAAAAGGTATATAAAATGTTTGCAGAACTGGGCTCTGGATTAAATGGCTTGCCTTTACTCTTGGCATGAGATTAGAGGATAAAACCTCTCTGGACAATATCCATTGCTTTCTCCTCCGGAAAAAGGAGTACTGTACTCCCTGCTGGTTATGTACTCCTTAGCTGTCATTCGGGAGATTTCCCCAGTGGATTCCTCAGGGGACCCATTCTGTTGACCATCTGGCGCTGAGCCTGCACAAAATTCCCTTGTAAGACATCTATTTGCTTGCCTCATTTTGAAAAAGACCTTGGGGTAGTCCCCTAGATGTTTAATTATTTTATTTAATTTAAATGAAATGAACTGTGATTTTTTAAGCCATAACTAATATATTGGCCAGAACTGTGTTGCGTAGTGTAGTGAGTCACTACTAGAGTAAGCCCCTTGAATCAGTTGGGATTTGGTAAATCAGCTTCTCCATTTAGCATAATAAATTGCAGTTAGAGTAGGCCCATTGGAATCAATGGCACCTATGGAGGATTGACTCAACAAACGCCCATTGATTCAATGGGCCTACGCTAGTGCAATTTACTAAGCTAAGTAACAGGATTCTGGCCATTATGATCTTAAAACTGCTTAGTCACTGTTTTGCTATTGATTTATTTTTTATATACAGTACTATATTTGTGGAAACCGATACTACTACAAATAATAATAAAGTATCTTTTTGTCTTCAACTTATTTAGCTGTTGAGGAGGAAATTTAAGCTGTCTGACTTTCCTAAAAACAATGTGTTTTATGTAAGTTACTTTGTATCTTGTTTAATTGTTGTTGTTTTCTTTCAGGGCTCATTCAGGAACTGATTAACAGAGAGACCTTATCTAATGTAGCAGAGGTCATTGAGAAGCTGTTCAGTCAGACAGAAAACCTGAATAAAGAAAGTCACCGTGAGGGTGAGAAGACTCAGGTACAGAAGGAAGGACATAACAGTATTAAATATAAATTATGCCTAGCCTGGAAGAGGTTCCAGGAAATGGCCCATCCAAAACCCATTTCCCTTCTGGTTATGACTATGATTAAATATTTGATTCCCAACTATTCAGTTCATTGCCTTAAAATCACTAAAAGCACATTTTTATATTTGTCTACTCAGAAATAATAGGGTTTACTCCCAAGTAAAGTGAATAAGCAGCACACTTTAGTACAAGATTGCAGCCTTAAACCAAATGTAAAATGTTTACAAAATGTTTATTCCACAGCAGCAAGAGAAAAGAAACATCAACAGTGTTAAAAGATTGGATGACAGGGTGTAAAAAGCCTGGGTAGATTAAAAACAAAATATTTGCCTGATATTAGAAGGAGATAAGATTTGGTGTCAAGTGGGTTAACAAGCCAGCCGACCCCATGAGCCGGGGTGCCCTACTATGGCGGTTTGAGGTGGTCCACACAAGTCCATATTGTACTATATGCCATGGTACAAAGAACAGAACGCCTATAATGTTAGTGGCTAAAAATACATCCTGATGCGATGCAGCTTCATATGATCACATGGGACAATAACAATAACTCACATTGATAATCCAAGAAGAGAACATATGTTCCTGCTTTGCTTCTCACTGATTTGCGTCATCACACCACAATATCAAATGGAGCATGGTATCATACTGTGCTTATGGGAATATGAAACGAAGAGGCTCATCATCTTTTACCCTGTGGGTAAAATTGTCCTAGGAAGGAGCCATGCAGGAAAATAAGCAAATTTTTTAGCTCTTGTAATTGAAATATATTGCCTAGTAAACAATGCAAAATTACTTTTGCGGATTTTGAGGGACTTTATTTTTCTTCTTCATAGATTGAAGAAACTGCAATCAGCTTATGGAACTGGACTGTGGCAAGGAAAGCAGACCCTGTTATCAGTGATATTCAAAGAGTCAAATGTACGACTGAGTCTTTTCTAATATAATATTGTAATATTGAAGAGATCAAACTATTTTCTGTTTTGTTGCTTGTGTAAATTTATGTAAATTCTTGTGGGTGCCCATTTCTTTGCAACTGGAGAAGTTTCCTTGCCATCTAACAGGACATTTCACTTGTAATGTTAGTACTCATGGTGAAGGATTTTGCAGAGGGTAAGGGTGAATGAAGTAGCTGCAGGATCCTGTGCATTTTCTTCTGTAGATAGTCCTGAATTAAGTGACCTGAATTAAGACACAAATTGTCTGATGTAATAAGAGTAGCATATGTCATTTGCAAGCAAATTTTCAGTGTGTTTAATTGTGTTGACAATTATAAATATTCTGTGTTTATTCTGTATCAGATATGCTTGTGTCCACATCCTGTATTCTTAGGCCAAGGACTGGAGGTAAAAAAAATCAATGTCTAAGAGTATGCAATATTGTCTTCTTACAGTGCGCCATGTTGCCCTCAGATTAATGATATTTTATGAAGTAAACAATCCACCTGAAGAGACGATGAGAAGACAGGTTTTGGTAATTGTAACCAAATTATGTGCAAATAATTTCTCTAATTTGTTTTTGCTTCATCAAATACTACACACTAAAAAGAACTCTAAAAAGTCATAAACATGATTTGCTTTTTCAAGAATATACTGGTAGATTATACTTTATGCTAAACCAAGGGTCAGTGACCTTTTTTCTGCACAGGAACATTTCACGGTCTCTTCAAGCTTGTACAGGAAAAATTGTTACATCCAATGAGCTAGATAAAAAAATGTAAATATTTAATACTAACAATAATTTATTGTTTGAAATATGTGGTAGATTTTAAAACTTTGAGATGTTTTAATTCAGAGGCCTTAGCTAGGCCTGCTTAATTTGAAGTTGCACAAGCAGTTGTGAAATTCACAGCAGGGTAGAAATCATATTCAGCAAGCAGTTCCATACTTTGTGCAATTAGTTATTCAGCTAACTGCACTGTAGTTAGCTGAATAACTAACTGCACAAATACAGTCTTGAAATTTTGAAATCAATACAGTTTTGAAATGCAAATTGCCTGGGCACAACTCCTTGAACACTTCTGCAGGCATAACTTTATACTACACCAAGTGCTGTAGGATTATGGCCAGTGATTAAAAATTGTCTAAAAGGTATGCTCCTTCGCAGTGTTTAATTATGTAATAGAACAAAGCAGACTCTGATTCAGGCATTAAGACCTCTGTTTTATTAGTATCATTAATAAACTATGTATCATTAAGCCATAAATGAGCACTGTGCTCCTCTACTCCCTTCTCACTCCACCACTACACAGTAGCTTCATTATTATTACTGTGGTTTCTTTAACAGTTTCCAATTAGACCCAGACTGAGAAACTGAGAAACTAATAAGAGTTTGATACTGATAACTGTTTTCATGGATTTTTTTAATCCTAGTTGGTAAACACAAATTAAACTACATTTTAAAAAAGTGTGATTTAAATAAGCCATAGTAGAAGGACTGAAGCCAACATGCTAGGAAAGATGGGGAGGGTTGGTGTGGGAGCATATACTGTTCTATTATTTTTGTTCCTCATTTAATAAATCATGGATAATTGCACAAGGATTATTAAATCTCTCAACCGAATAAACTGTGGCAAAATATTCTTGATTGTTGTACGGTACATATTTATGAACCTGATAGAATTTTCTATCATCCAATGACCATGTTTTGTTTCACACCCACATGATCCAGATGGCCATGAAGACTGGAAAAGGATGGGTTGAGGTTGGAGAATTTGCTTTTGCTGACGAACTTCTTGAGATTGCCATGAATGTAAGCTTGTGCTCTTTTGCACAGATATGTATTTAATAAGTGCCGTATTGTTTTCCTTAAATCAATTTATATATTATTTTGCAGAATCTGGAGAAATTATATGCCCAGTTAACCAAGAGGAGCACCAAGCAGACTGATACACATATGCACAAAGCTGATGTAGAGAAGGATGTGTTCAAAGTTCTGTCTTATCAGGCTGAATCTGTACGTTGGTACCAAATAAATGTTCAATTGCTGTACTGTATTAGTGTTGCAGAGCTGTTGATGGACCCTCTCCACACTTCTCCTGTTTAGATCATGTGGTTCCTGCAGTTCACTGGCTTCCATTATTCTAATTCATAGAAGTGACAACTCTTATTTCTATAAAAACCCAATGAACACGCTTCTAAGATTAAAATCCAGTTTGCTGTAATTTTTCAGTGTTAATTTAAAACTGACCCATGAAGCAGCCTGCACTCCACCAGCATAATCTGTTGATTTCTCAGGCAGTTGCTCAAAGGGATTTTCAGAAAGCAGTCAAGTGTGTTCAACGCTGCAAAGACATCCTGATGAGGCTGATAAAAGAGGTTCGTGGCCACTAAATTATCTTATAACGGTTTCAAATGGATTTTACATTCTTATATTTCAGTAATGTCTCAATCAAAATTAGAGGAAATGATACCTTTCTGTGTTCACTGCTAGCTTTTTGAAAATATAATAGCGCAAGATCATGACACAAATTCTCCTTCCATAATTACAGAGTTGTTACCTTTCCCTTCTGTGCTATAATTTTGGGGTAGAGACGTATGAACTGAAGAGGTACGAAGAGAGCTCTTTCTGGCTCAGGTGAGGTTTATGAGAAAAGTGTGCCATTAGTGGGATATGTTTCCTTCTTGTTAGGCTGAGGAGCTAGAGAACATCCCATCCTGTCAGCTCCTGTGGGGGCTGAGTTCCAAGAAAGCTTTCATTTGAGCATTTTGGCTCCATCTAGTGGCTTGAACTTCCTTCCAACTGTAGCAGGACTGATTTGAGGCTGAGAACACTCTCAGGAGCAGGATTAACACACAGTACATAGATCTAAAATGCTGCTGGGGGACAGAGCGACTGAGGTGCAGTTGCTTTGATGCAGAGCAATCATGGCCGTGAGAAGGATGTGGCGCTCCGCTGCATCCCTCCAAATGGTCCCTTCCCAAAGAAAGCAGCCATTGTATAGATCCTCCTGAAACATTTAGTTGGACTGAGATCTTTTTCGAGAGCTCGTGTGGTGTAGTGGATAGAATAATGAACTGGGATTCAGGAGTCCTGCCTTGAAATCCACACGCAGTCATGGTAACTCGGGGAGGGGGAGGGGGAGGTCTTGGGGGAGCAGTGGTAGAACCACTTCTTAGATATCTCACATACTTTGAAAGCCCTGTTGGGGTACCATTGGATTAGGTGCAGCTTGACAGTAGATAACATGCATGACATGGCTTTTAGAGTGAGGTCCTGTGTTTCAAGCCTGGAAGGAACACCCATTATATCTGTGTTCATGCATTCATGCATGGAGCCTTAACAGCTGTTTTGAACACTAGATAGGAGGGACGAGACATTTGGGATGGAGCAGACAGCAGAATGTGGGGAAAGAGTCTCACCTACTCTTGGTCAAAAGCTACCGGGGATTGTCCAGGTTATTGTTATCATTTTCTCCACAGTGTGAACAGGAAATAATCCACATTATTCGTTTCATCACATTACAAATTTCTAAAATGAAACCATAACAAGATTGGTAACCTAGTGGCACATGCACAAAGTGGTGTCCTTGGTGAATACAGTCTTGAAATTGTAAGCCTTAGGATCTTGCTTAGTTGCTTCTTCTCCCCAGATCCTTGCAACTGATCTTGTGCTGATTTTTCCCCTTCCTAAATAGCCAGAGCTATGACATTGGGAAGATGGATATGAAATATTCAACTGGAAAAGAAATGCAGGTAAAAATGCTTTGTATTCCAGCAGAGGGTGCCCTTTCCACTCATGACCTTGCAAGTCCCTTCCAACGTTGTGATTCTGTAATTTACATGAGACTTTTCATATTTAAATATTCCTTTATTTTTACGTCCAGGCTAAAGTGCTGCGATTACTCGCTACTGTCTATTTGGAGTGGGACTGCAAACAATATCAAGACAAAGCTCTCAGGGCTATCGCCATGGCTAATGAGGTGACATAGCTTATAGTGGTTTGAAAAGCACGCACAGACAGACAGGTTCATTCTGTAATAGCACATGGCAGCCATCATCAGAGTTACTCCAGAAATCTTTTTAGAAGAGGTAGCTGTATTCGTCTGTGCAAGCATACCAGGCAAAATCCAAAGAGACAAGAGAAAAACATGTGTCACCTTAAAGACTATTACATTTTAAGGCGAGCTTTGGTGGACAAAACAAATTATTCCATATGTCTGACAAAGTGGACTTGTCCACCAAAGCTCACCTTAAAATATAATAGTCTTTAAGGTGACACATGTTTTTGTCTTTTTAAAAAAAATTGTTTTGATTCTTTGGATTTTGCCCGATATATTCTAGAAATGGAATTTCTCCCCATGCTTGTTTGGCTTGACTGTCTTTTATTGGTAGGCTGAAACAGAATTTTCTTTCAAAGAGAATCATTCTGCAAACCAGGAGTTAAGATTATACTTTAATTTATAAACTATTTTTGCAGTTTTAAATAAGTGAAGATTTAAACCTTATGTAACATGGAAGTTTGTTGGTGTCATATCTACGGTTTTCTGTTAAGGTTGTCGCTACATGATTGCTAGGTGTCTTTAAAACCCTGAAGCCATTATCCTCCATTAGTGAGAATGAAGACTTTCCTTCCTTTTCACCTTTATCCACCTGGATTATGGGCTATGCTACAGTGGGAGTGGAGTAAAAAAAAAAGCCGAGTGTCATTTTTGGTTTTGGCCTCTTTCCAAAAGAGCAGTTGATTTGGAAAAGGCTGCAGGGAACAGGCCAATCCTCTGCCCCTCTGAATAATGTCAGGTGTGGAGGTTAACTTATATTATTGAGAATTTCTGCTATCTAATAAGTTGGAGTAAAAGAATAAGTTAAGACTGTTGTTTTTCTTCCTCCCTGAACAAAAACTTAGAATGTTGAGGCTTCAAGATAAGAATTCCAAATTAACAAATAAGGTGACTGGTTGCTAAGGATGTTTGAATTCTTTTAGAAGATGATTTGAAATATATGTATAATGGGGGGTACTGATGAGAAGCTCTTGACATTCATTCATGGAGTTATGAATAGACTGAGCTCTGACAGCAGCCAGTTAAAAATATCCTGAAACTCGTAAAAATAGTTTGGCTGTCAAAATAATGTCTTGATTTCTTGATTGCAGGAGAATTTGCATCCAGCAGGTTTTTTCTTGAAAATAAAAATTCTTCTGAAATGCGGTGCATCAGACGAAGATGTCAGCAGAGGTACTGTGCTTGGTTCAGAATGTGGCATGCAATATCATACCTGCAAAGCAAAGCAGAGCCAGGACAGAGGGAGCAAGAATGGGACAGTCCTGTCCCTCAAATACAGCACCAGAGGCCACTTCCTTCTGTAGTGTCCTGTGCTTTGGGTGTTAAGCCTGCTCACGTCTTAAGAAAGGGAACAGATTATAAAGGAGTGAAAAAGCAATTGCAGGAACTTTGCACTGTCAATCAAAATTTGCTGAAGGGAAATCTCTCACATTTTCCATGCCACTAGTACAACTAGTAAAAATAATTGGGTAAACTCATCCTCATGCTGCATATCATTATCACTTCGAAGTTCATCAGTGAGTTCCAGTCCTGTCCACTGTGACTCTTTTTGTATCACGTAGACATGAAAATGAGAAATGTACCAAACTATCACTTGGTTGGAGAGGATGTGGAATCAAGAAAAATATTTGGATTTTTTTTCTTGCAGTGGCATACTGACTTTGTTGCTTCGTCTTCTCTCTAGCTGTTGGTGAACTTCTGCACCACAAGTTTTCTCTTGACATCTGCCTGGACACAGCGAAGCTACTTCTGGAACATGAGAGGTACACAGAGCTTGCATGGAGATTTGAAGGTTGCTGACATGATTAAAGATGCTGGTCATACCAAAAAATAAAAAATAAAATCAGGAAAGGCCTTGCAGCCTTTTATTTACAAGTTTTCTGAACTATTCATAAATATTGCTGCATAAGCCTGAACAAATGCTATATTTTCCATAAAAGCTTGTTGATTGTTCAATTTTTTAGTGGTCTAAACAGGGTGATCATACCAAGGAAGTCCAGTGTGGCTTTTTATGCTCTTCAACAAACTCTGTTTCTTTGCCATGTTTCTGTAACCATGGCTGCAATCATCCTTATGGAACTGTGAAACAGAGAAGGAAGACTAGGCACACAATGAGCTTGATGTACATGCCGAAGTGGTATAGTAGGGAGCAGGTGTGAGGTCTTAAAACAACTGGTAGAGCAGAAGATGGCTAGATGTGAATAACAGAACATTAAAGACAATGGTTCTTCCAGTCTTGCACAAATAATTTTGGACAGACATATTTCGGAAAACAAACATTTACAAATTATATTATCACAGCAATTAAGATAAACAACAATGCTTCTCAGATTTCCACCCTTGAGACATTTGGGGACCAGTGAGAATTGAAGTCCAAAACACCTGGAAAACCAAAGACTTAGAGCAACTAATATATATTATACATACCGTAAGTATTTCCAAGGGCCTTCTGTCTTGTAGTGCCCAGTTCACGAATGCTGATTTCATTCTGATGCCAAGTTGAAATGTAGCTGCTCGCCAACACCTTTGGGGCTTAAGTATCTTGGCTGTATCAGGTTATAAAATCCGTTCTGAGTGTTCAATTTGAATTTTCTTATATGTTTTAAAGTTCTAACTCATTTAAAAATACTTATGTTGTATCATACTCTCTGAATAAATATTCTAAATAAATAAGTAATGTTACATAAAACTTCTGGTAGGAGGTCAGAGTGGACCAAAATTCTGTTTCATAACAACTGTCCTAGCTAGAAGACAATGTGGCTGGCCGGGAATCTGGGATCTTTCATTACTGGCAGGGGAGGCAAATTTACAAAGAAGACTTGCTTGTTTTGGTATCAGGAACTGACCCTGTATATGATGAGCAATTCTCATACAGTTTTTTTATACCCAGGGAGGCCATTGGTTTTGACTTCCTGAAATCAGTTGCTCAGCTGTTTGAACGATCACCAGACATTGGCAAAGTAATTCTTCTTCACATCAAATTGCTATTACTGAGAATGAAGGAGCCACTTGCCAAGAAAATGATTGAAGATATCATTGCAGGTCTGAGTACCGCTTCTCCTGTTGCTGCTTAGCAGTCATGGGGTGGTGGGGTTTGTAAAGTATGGAAACACCCATTTCAGGTTGAAATGTTCAGATAAGGAAAATGTAGGATTTAACACTTCAGGTTTGGCCATGATCACCACCTTAATCACAATTGCACAAGCTTGTGTTTTACTGATTTAAGATTATTTTAAACTTGCTTGGGTGAATGTAAGAGCAGAACCTAATTCTGCTGAACTGTATTGGGTAAAAAATAATTCTAAGAATCCAGCTTTTAAAAATGCATAAGTAGAAAGTTCGGCTTTGCTGAATAGATTTGAGGATTAGTGTACAAGCTTGCTTAGACTGGAGTTGCTTGTTCCAAGGAGAGATTCTTAGAGATATTCTCAATTCCAGACACAGGTTTGTGACTTACAAATATATGTGATGCCTTAGACCTGTAGAATTGCTAACATGCGAACTTATCCCTTCTCAGGGTGCAGCACAGGAACTCACCTGCCTCCTGAAATACTGAACGACTTGCAGCTTATTTTGTGGGGAAGAGCTGCTAAGAATTATGAGGTTAGTTATTGTTTTGGCCATCTGATCACTTCCAACTTACAGGGTTTTCAAGGTATGTGGAATCTTCAGTTAGTGGTTTACCATTTCCATTCTCCAAGGCCATGAGGGGAGGACTTGAACCCAGCTCTCCTGGATCTCAGCCTAAAACTCGGTTCATTACGCCACACTGGCTCTCGCATAAGGTTCCTTATAAAGTTTGTAAAGTTCCTCCTGTTGATTATCTAAGTAATGTACTAAAGACTATTTGGGCAGGGTAGAGGCTGGGGACAGAGAACATGGATGTTGGGCCCTTCGTATAATCTTTGCCGGTCATTCTGTGCTGTTGCCCACATGTTTTGAATCTGAGATTTTAAAAACTTGGGACAGAAACTTATTTGGCATACATGGGTTGTCATCATAAAATGTATGCAGAAGCAATTTAATTCCTTCATGTGTTGTTGCTCTTTTCAACATTGGTAATTGCTAGGGCCATATATCAATATTTTTGAAGAGCTCCTAGTAGGTTTCACAGGAGTGTTTGAGTTTCAGAAAGGATTCCTGTGTGGTAACCCAGGTGCAACAAAGATTATTCAAAGTGCTGAGGAAACACTTCTATGTAAGTTGTAACCTGCCACCTCTTGTTTCAGAATAACGATGTCACAAAATAACTGCACCATCTCCCCAATTGCCATTTTTTGTTTTCCGCAATCACAGAGATGACCTGCCAGCAGAGAATGTTTTCAGAGGAGTAACATTGGCTCACATCCTCTCCATTCTGAAGACTTCCTGTCTACTCCTAGATAGGTTCAGGGGCTTGCATAATTACATTTTTCTTTGTCTAACCGAAAGATACAAAATGATAGCGGGAGTTAACATCAATATGCAGCTTTGGGATTTCACCCCTGAATGGCGAAAATGAGCTGCTTCCCCCCCTTTTAAAAGCTGCATGCTTGTTCAAAACACATGGACCATTTTGAACACATGTGCTGCAGTTGAGTCAAACACACCCTGTTTATTTTCTAGACAAAAAGCTATCCTGAAGCTCTTCAGTGGTACAGCTACTCCCTCAGCTTCTACTCCACAAGGCAAGCAGACCACCAGAACATGGCAAAACTGCAGAGAAATATGGCTGCTTGCTATCTACACCTGAAATTGCTGGAAAAGGTATTTATCTGGAGTGGCTCAGGTACTTCTGCCATTTCCTGTTTCACCTTCTACAAGAGATTATGGGCAGCCTTGCAAAATCTGCTTTTATTGAAAGATATCTGAGCAACTTTTGTCAGAGGATTTTCTGTGGTGAAGGTAATGTTGAAGGGGCAAGTAACACCAAACCCAAGGGAGAGACATCCTTCCCTTCAGTTAGTTAGGCACAAGGGCTCAAAGCAATCCGTTTTTGTGCGTGTCGCCCTTATTGCAAACCCAGTCACGAAAGCTGTTCTCCTATAGAGCAGAAAGAGGACCAGATTCACCAATGAATAATTTTTAAACCCATTTCTCATAGATTGTATTTTTTCACATAACTTGTCATCCAGACACTATACAACTGCAAGTGTTTATTTATGTTTCCAATGTTTTAATTGCTTTAGATGTTTTTCAATGTTTTATTTTGATGTATTTATATGTTTTGAGTGTATTGCTTATTTGTATTTTGTTATTTCTGTCTTTTGTGATGTTAAATGGTACTTGATGCTATTTATATGCTGTGAAGTGCCCACAGCATATAAATAGTATAAATTCTATGTTATCTTTCTCCTGTAGAGGCAATCATGATGGCTCACAATAATTAAAATCCAAGTAAACGTAAAAGGACAATAAATATGTAATTTTAAAAAATTAAACATATGATAATAAAGACATTTGAAGACACAAACACTAAAGTAACCTTTAAAACACTTAGAAATTGTAACTAGCATCTTAACATAAGTGTTAAAACAGTGGTTGTTGTGGGGTTTTCCGGCTTCTTGGCCGTGTTCTGAAGGTGGTTTTTCCTAACGTTAGGAAAAACCACCTTCTAAACACGGCCAAGAAGCCCGAAAAACCCACAACAACCATTAGATCCCGGCTGTGAAAGCCTTTGCGAATACATTGTTAAAAGAGTGTTAGAAAGAAATGGCTTTTCTTGATGCCGGAAGGACAAGAGGGAGGGGGTCCAACCGAGCCTCCCAAAGGAGGGCACTCCAGCCACACAGAAGACCCTCTCTCACATTTCCCCCAAATGTGCCAGTGAAGCAGCAGAATGGAAGACCATAGGAGCCAAGAGAGCTTGTACAGGAAGATAAGATCTTTCCTATAGCCTGGACCTGAGATATACTGTATAGAGCTTGGCAAATAACAGCCATATCGCAATAAAGCAAACTGATAAACATAATAAGTTAACCAACTTAAAAGTAAAATGGAGCAACAGAACAAAACCACGCTTTTCTGGCCTTGTATTGTTAGACATAACTAGAGAAATAGTTTTGCTTTTTAGTTTGCTGAGCAAGGAGTGAGGCCAACAATATCGCTGTTATGTTCCATTCTCTGAGTATAACTGTCCACAGCTGCCCATTCTTTAATACCCCAATACTTTATTCTGCTTAAACTGTACAGGCTCATGAGGCAGTGAAGGAGGCCGAGAGTTACGACCCAAACAGCATCTTCACTCAGTTCTATGTGTATAAAATGGCAGTCCTACAAAACAATACCCAAAAAGGTAATATATTACAGTACTTTTTCTTAATGGCTTGTTTGCAGTTCACAGGGAAAAGGGCACAGTAGACATGAGCATTAAACAAGGGTCAACTGGCATGTTCAGTGAATTTATGGACAAATCTTCCAATGTATGTTACCCATTCTCTTCGGCATTCTCCACTGTTGTTTGCAGCTCGTTTTTAAATATAATATAGGAATTATGTACTGTTGTTAAAGGGACAGATGCAAATAGTTACACAGAATTTACAATCAGGCAGAATTTTAAAAAGTGGCCACAGGTAATTCCAGACTATGTGTTTGTGGGGGGATTTTTTAGTGGCAGGCATATGCGGTATTGCAGAGGACTTCCTTCTCTGCAGTTAAGAGTAGAGATAGTATCTGTGATCAAAAAAGAGTTAGCATGCTAGCAGCATGGTTAATCCCTCACACTTGTTACTATTGTTATACAAAGGCTAGGCTAATAACTATAATCAATCTGTAGAAAACACAGGTGGTTTTCAGTTACACCACTGTTATTTGGTCATATATTTGGAATCAAGGCAGTATATTTTTAGGGCTTGCCTACACCACAAAGGCATACATTAAAACCTTCCGAGTGTGTTGTTTGCGTGTTTAATTGTGATAGTTACTGCTCCAATATTTTTTGTACTTGCTGTCTCTGAACTGTTTTTGAAGAGCAAGTTACTCAGAGAACCAGGTTCCAGAATTAAATTTCTTTTGCTTTCTTGCTTGGCTAAAATGTGTGCCTGTCTCAGTGCTAATGAGAGTCTCAGATCCACCAGTATCTTCCATGTGTTTTGAAGATGTAAGTAACTTGTGCCTATACTTAGCAATCTTATCAACAGATGATCATTACAACATACTTCCCCAAAGCTCAGTTGGATTCACCAGAGGACATAATATCTGTGGCATATAGTTACCCTGTTTCCCTGAAAATAAGACAGGGTCTTATATTAATTTTTTTCTCCAAAAAAACGCATTAGGGCTTATTTTCAGGGGATTTTTTTTTCATTTACAACAATCTATGTCTATTCAGATATAGTCATGTCATCTTCTTCTGGTTGCTGCACAGTGGTGGAGGGCGGGGTTTCACTTAACTGGGGCTTATTTTTGGGGTAGGACTTATATTATGAGCATTCTGAAAAATCATACTAGGGCTTATTTTCATGTTAGGTCTTATTTTAGGGGAAACAGGGTAATATACAAGGGGTTCTTTTCTTTCTGATGCTGTGGGTGTCAGCATATCTTTGCATAGTGGCTTTTGAAGCCTTGAAGCATGCACCTTCTGTGTTTTCCCTGGTCAAGAAAATGGAAGTATTTCAGTCGACGAGTGTCCTTTGAAGAGTCTTAGTACCCAATGCAGTAATGAGAGCACATAGCCAGGCTATGTACTGCATGAATACAGGAGTATATGAATATGAACTCTTCTTCGCTCAAGGCAGGGCCTCCATGGGTTCTGGGGAACAACAGCTGTGCCTATATAAACAGTATAGCCTGCCACTTCTTGCTTCTTCTCTGTCTTTTAGCTATTGATGCACTTGTTAGGATGGAGGAGTCAGCAGCACAGCCAGACCATCAAACAGACAAGCTGTTAGTGGATGGATCAATGGTCGCCAATCTCCTGACCTTAGCAGCTCAGTTTGCTTTGGAGGTATAGGAAATAGAGATTCCATCATGAATAGCATATCTTTAAACATATGTTTAGCCTACCCTATATCACGAGCTCTCAGAGCAGGTTACAGAGGTATAGTATAAAACAATTTAAGCCATGAGATGATTAAAACCATTTTAAAAACCAAACTTTTTAAAACACAAAATTAAAAGATTAAAACCACTGCACTAAAATTTGGGCAGGCCTTGATCCTTAACCCTCAAAGGTTCTGATAAATAAGTATGGTATGTTTTGTCTTGGTGCTGTAACGATGTCCATGTCAGTGCCACTGGAGCCTCTAAAGGGGAGGACATGCCAGAGCAGGGGTGGTACGGCAAAAGAAGCCTCCCCCCGTGTCTGGAGATAATGGACCGTTCCCAATTTGGGATGTGTGTGTGCAGAGGAGGTCCTTCCCAACAGCTCTTAGCCATCGGGCAGGTTTATATAGGGAGAGGCGCTCTTTCAAATATCCACCTCCCAAACTGTTTGGGGCTTTGTAAGTCATCATCCACACCTTGAACTCAGACCGGAAGCAGATTGGCAGCCTTGTCTTTTACAACCTGAACAATCCATTCTAAGTGTGGCTGTCCGAAATGAAGTTCACCTGAATTAAGCAGGACTTACTCTTTACCAAGTGTGTTTAGGACTATGGCCTTTGTTCTTCACAAAATCCTATGCTCCTATAAGGGCCTCCGTGTCTCTCCTTCAGACAGGGCTTCAGACGTGCCTAGTTATCAGATTTTAATGATGGCATCTCTTTTTATACCTTATTCTTCATGAAGCTTATCTTATTAAAGAACCTGAATGGTTATGTGAAAGGCATTTGCTGTGACCTATATTTGCCTGTAGTTTGAAAACATGAGAAACTATTCTAGCACATAAGCATACCTTTTAACTATTCAACATTAATTGATATAATAAGCTTTCCTATCTGGTAACTCACCCCATCAAGAGATTGTTTAATTAAAATATTTAAATATGAGGTTGTTCTTAGTATTCTGTTATTGTTATTATTTACCCTGCTCCCCAGCCAAAATACCTCTGAGAACAGCTTACATAAGATCAATAAAAGGAAAGTGGTCCCTGCCTGTAGGCACAGAGCCTAAAAGACACAACACAAAAGAAGAAGAGAAAAAGGGGAACAAGGAGAGACCATTTAAAAAATAACAGTGGTCAGTCTAGGAAGAAACATTTGAGTCCATCAAGCACCAGCTATACTCTGCATTAGAAGATCTTTCCTTATGTTATAAAAACAAACAGCTGAAAACAAACCCTTTCAAAACATAGGTCTATGCCCTCCACTTAAAGAAGCAGAGAAGAAACTCTGAGTTATCTGGGAAGTCAAGATTTTGGAACATTGCCATACCCCAAAGTATTTTAGTATCACTCTGGATTGAACCCTGATCCTACCAAAAAAAAAAAAAAAAAGTCTAACCACCAAACACACCAGAAATAACATCCATAGGAAACTGGCTGGTTCAGAATAGGATGTACACCCACAAACAATAAGAACAAAAGCTTTGTCCCTGTGCCACTCCACAGCAAATATGCTAGTGCCATATGGTATAAATCGGCACATGCCAAACAAGTGGAGGTAGCCCTTAGTGAATCACACAGGATCATTGCAGGCTGCATGAAACCTACCCCCACTGAAAAAGGTGTATTATTTCGCTGCCGTTGCCCCTCTCAAAGCATGTTGAGAGACACTAGCAAATAGTGAACAAAATAAGGTAATATAGTACCACACCCATCCACTTCATGGACACCAATCCCCTAAATGATAGCAAAAATTGAGGGGGAAATTATGCACACTTCTCAAGCTCCAAATGTGAAACAAATAAAGAAATACTGTAATCTGGAATAGAAAAACATTTGTGGAGAGCTAGAGGCACTGAATATATCTGGTCTCTGAGCTGGGTTGTATGCCTTTGCCTGAAATCTGGAGAAACAGCTGCTGCCAGATGTTGGGAGAACCCAAAAGAGCTGGTCCCTCAGGAGAGCCAAGGGAGTGGGCTCACAGCCCCATCTCTCCCATAATATTACAACATATTATGCTGCAGCTTCCGTCAGACATTCTCAAATGCTGGCTTTCTGGGTTTTTTTTCCCCCTTGAATACAATTCCCAAAATACACAGCTTGGAAGTTATTGAATCCTGATAGTGTTGCTTGACTACTTGTTACAGACTGAAAACAATGTATAAAGTGGTGTTCATTTTGTGGATTAGACCATGCCAAAACTATATTTTCTTTGTATCTGTTTTGCTAACTAAACAACCTCCCCAGAACAATCAGCAGCCTGTGGCAATTGAAGCCCTGGGATATTTATCTCAGCATTTGCAAGACTGCCAACAAGCATTTACAGCTTTAAAGTGAGTAGTGAACAAACAAAGAACTATCCATACTTTATTTTCATTGTGTCATTAAAGTGTTCTTAGGGGTCAAATAGTCTGGACAGATCTAGTTGTCCCCTTACTGTTATCATCTACACCAGCAGAAAATACAGGGTTTGGTGCAAGCTTTCAGGAGACAGACAGATTTTATATTTATCTAGTGGCTGTTCTTTGTTTATGGCTATGTTGTGTTTTATATGTATCTTTGATCCAAAAATCCTGCATTTTAATGGTGTCCATGTGTTTTCTAAATTTTATGTATGTTGTTTGTTGCCCTGAGCTGTTTGTGACATGCAGCAGGCTATAATTAATAAACAAAACAACTTTAAAAATGCAAGTGATTGCACTGGAGGTTTTTTAATGCAAAGCTTGCCTCAAGATTCCTCAAGCTGGGCAGAAGCTAAAATACCTTCGGGCTATATCTGGAAAAAAAATCAGTTTTTAAAAAGATATACCTCCTGCATGTTCTTCTGAATTAGTTTACAACTGCACATGGGTTAAACCCATGTCCCCAATAAAGAAGTCCTTCCACACCAAGGTGATGCACAGTAAAGAGAGAGCATGTGGCCTCAATAGCCGGGGGTAAAATGAGACTGAAAATAGAAAAGGACACACACTGAGATAGATAACTTGTGGAAAGGCAGGTGCTTTGAGTAACAGGGTGACTAAGCATCATTTGTTGGAATTTTTTTGCTTGTAGATGTTTGACTCGGCTTGTGTTGTCTAAAGTTGCAGTGCAATCCAAAGAGGAGACGTGAGTTGCACTTCTTCCACTTTTGATCCTCACTTTGATGACCAACAGGAGATTGTGTGTTAGACAATTAGACATGAGTTCATGTTTAAATTCATCCCTGGACTCTAGTGCTGGAGGAGCAGTCAGGTTGATGTCAATCTCCCCTCTTTGTCTGTAGAATGTGGAGCATGAAAGCAAACTCTCCCCAGGACTGTTGTGAAGATGAAATAACGTAATTGTAACACACTTTATAATTGATATTCCCTCCTAGCTGCCTTCCAGACACTGAGGAAAACATAACTTTCCCAGAAAGTTTTAAATGCTTTGTGGTATCGCTTTGCACAATTCAATGAGCTAATACTTTTCCCTCTTCACTTTTAGAACTAGAGATATGGAGACTCTTCTAACACACTTGACTGCAGGTATGCAGCTGGCTGTATGATTATGCATCTTAAGTCTGAAACAAAAAGCACAGGTGAAAAAGGTCACCAGTTCCCAAACGTATTCATAAAAGTTCCAATAAGATCCGACAAAGTTTGCAAAGCATTACTGTATTTGTATCTAATGTTACTTATTTCTGCTCCAGCTCACCATAGACTAGATGGGCTGTTTAGGGAAGAAAATGAGACACTGGAGATGAAAGTTCATGAAGCTCAGTGGTTCAGGAAGATAGGTAGGTGGCAGGGTTGAAGTCACAGAGAAATGTGTTTGTGGGGAAGGCAGGATAATAAATGAGTAAGTCTTAACACATTAGCTGGTCTTAGAAGGTATACTTGCTAAGGAGTTTAGCAGGCCAATGCTTTGCTGCTGCAGTCTTAAATCAATCTTGTATGCAGGGTGACTTTCCTGTGCACAGACTTGAGCAACAATCTCAATTTTATTTTCCCCTCCCCCTCTTCAACAAAAAAAGCTCACAATTGTTTTTGTGCATCACAGTTCAAGCATAATACTGTAGCAATCTGCCTCATTACGGACTGAAGGCAGGGGACCCGTTGCTTGCATTCCATGGTGTGGATTTTCTTGCACATTTCAGGTGCGCCAACAGTGTTTTGTGTTCTTCAGCTGCTCATACAGTCACTTAGCCACATGCCGTTGGCTTGGCACAGATTGAAATTGAAATAATAACCTATCAGGTGTCTGGTTTAGGACCAATATCACTCAAAGGATACCTCTATATCCTGATCTCTGCTTGTGTTCAGAATCTTGTTTTGTGTTGTGAACAGTTTTGTTGAGGGAATGATCAGCTGTTGAAATACTGTTGATACCTAATCACTGCCTATTTCCTGCTGATCTTGATTGCATCTTGCTTTCTGCTTGATGTTAAAATGAAGCTCCTGTCATTAGGCATATTGGTTGTTCTTGTTTTTAAATCTGGTTATTCTTATTTGCTTTATGAGCTTGGAACTTGGCTATCCAGTGTGAAAGCTGCCCAAGAATAATGAGAGACTTCTTTATAATGTCTTTCAAGGTACGTGCTTTTGCCAACATTCTTTGCTCCCTTTGAAAAAGAATTAAGCTGCATTCAGGAAACTTCTGAAACCTGTGTTAGTAGTCATGCCGCCTTTCCTCACTGGCCAGCTGAATAACTGGGACTTCCATGGATGTACTATCTGCTCTATCATCCATTGTTAGCAAAGGTTGTTTGAGTAAAAAATCTCCAGGGTTGAGATGACAGAAGTAAAGTTACTGGGCTTGTTTGAAATGTGGCGGAGGGTGGGGGCATGGGCATCTTTATCTGCAGTGGAAATGGGGGGGGGCAGTCACCTTTCTTTGACTAGCCCAGCCATTTGGCAAGCCATGTGGCATTTCAAATCCTGCTTTGAATGGTAATGTGGCAATTTTCTGCCTTTGCCATCAAATTGAATAGACTAAATAGGATCCGTTTCAACAGTTTCATGCATTTCAGCAAGAAGGTAAGGTGCAGGACGGCACCATTCAAAATCTTCCGGTATCAGACAGCACTTGAGGTGACAAGCTCAGGCTGATCACTTGTAGGACAACATGCAGAGAATCCTTGGGAAATCGTAACTTATGGGCACAGACGTGATCATGACTCTCTCTCTGCTCTTGGAAATCTGGAGTTGGTGTTGTTGTTGTTTTTTTAGTAGCATCACGCTAAGGCTTCACTGATGTATTGGAGGCCAAACTCTAGACCAGAAATGCTGTTGTGAAAATGAAGCCAGAGTAAGAGATTTTTTTCTGCAGAAGAGGATAATTTCTCCATTTTAAAAATGGAGAAACGGATTGTTCCAGTTCTACTTCCTCCGTTTCCAAGGTTTTTACTGACAAAGCAGAACTATGAGGAATATGTAGAAGTCACCAAGTTTTCCTTTAGTGAGTGGAGAAGAAAGCGCTTGTCCGTGGAGTCTTAGCAGAACTCTCCCTGCTGCCCGTGTCTAAGGAGGAAGAGCTCTTTTCATGATAGAAGGATATGTTGAAACGGAACAGATACCATTTGAGTGCTTGCTTGGTGCTTGTATAAACAAGAACAAGCTAAACTAATTTCAGTTTTCTTCAGAACATAAACAATGATTGGCTGCAAGCTTCCAATGAGAGAAGGAAAGTTTTAAGATGGATGAATCTGTATAAAAATACCTGAAATGGTGAAGGTATGTCCTTCAAGCACTTTGCAGCTCAGAGGTCTTGTGGCTTTTGTTTGGATGAGGCCTTTCCCGTGAACACAGGAGAGTCAGACTTTGTGAGAACCAAAAAGAAGGGGAAACAAGGTGTGTGTGTGTGTGTGTGGGGGGGAATCAGAGGAACTAGACTCATGGAGACCAAGAGAGGGGGGGGGGAAGCAGGCTTTTAGGGAAAAGATCAAATAAAATCATGCTTAAATAATAGGTCGTTTGGGTTTTCCCAGCTTACAGCTGACAAATATTTATACTTCCATTCATGTTTATCATTTCAGTTTTCCCAGTTTTGCCCTCCTGAGAAAGCCATCCTCCTTGCCCAGAGAACATGCCTGCTCATGGCAGCAGCTGTGGATCTGGACATGGGTCGGAACAGTTTGCTGCTTGAGGAACAGGTAGAGTGTAGGAAGGGTTAAAGCCACAGGCAGCTTTCCTTTGTGACTCGGGCCTCGTTCAGGTTCCAGGCAGCTCTGGTTTTCTGATTGCCGTGGTTTGATCTCATGCTGAGATGAAAAAAAGCCCCCTATATTATTTTAGAAGCAAATCAATATGGGTAACTTTGGGTCAAGACAAGAGGACTGCTCTCAGGGGATAGATATCCCTTCTATAGTCTTAGTCCAGATTTTGGGAAAGTTGCTTTTTGGGGGACTGCAGCTCACTAGAACTCTGTCAGAATGGCAAAACAGTACTGTACTAAAAATACATAAATGGTCTCTTCATGTTTAAAGCAGACTGAAGTGCTGATTCAAGCCCTTGAACACATCCAGTCATGCAGAGAAGTCTGGAAAGTTCTGAAGCAAACAGGTGAGCTGGAACTCCTGCAACCTTCTACTGCACAAACCCGCCCACAGAGTTAACTGATTACAAAAGCCTTCTTACTATACCACTGTGTTTCCCCGAAAATAAGATAGGGTCTTGTATAAATTTTTGTTCCAAAAAACACATTAGGGCTTATTTTCAGGGGATTTTTTTTCCCCATGTACAACAATCTACATTTATTCAAATATAGCCATGTCATCTTCTTCTGGTTGCTGCACAATGGTGGAGGGAGGGGCTTCACTTAACTAGGACTTATTTTTTGGGGTAGGGCTTGTATATTACGAGCATCCTGAAAAATCATGCTAGGGCTTATTTTCGGGAAAACAGGGTAGTAATAGGGATAGTCTATTTTCTTGACATTCAAAAGGCACAAAGATCTGGGAAAACAAAGGGTCAGAGCTAAAAGGTGGTATTGAGCAGAAGAGTTTACTAGAGCATGATGGTGACATAGGGTTCCTAGTCCGAAAGCAGGCACTGATGCCTCTTTCCTGAACTGAACATAAGATTGTAAGAATGGTCTCCCACGTCATATAAAACTGATGCTGCTTGCAATAGGAGAGACTATAAAAAGCCTACATGTGGTGAGAGGGAGCCAGCCAATGATCCAGAAAGAACAAGCCTTCACTCTGAAGTGATTTGTTTCAAAGCTGTCTCTGTAGCTGAGATTGGGTCAAGAAGAGAAATCCTTTTTCAGATGGGAGTCACTAGAATGCTTTCTGCAGAAAACCCTGCCTTTTCAGGGTCGTTTGGGGGATGACTTGGGCCCTGAAGTTTCCCCGCAAAAGGAGAAGGTCAGTTGCCAGTTGCAGCCCTGCCTGCCCTGAAGGTAGTGAAACGAAACAGACCCAAAGAGGTGCGGCCTGTACATTCTGCGGGAAAGAGGAACCAAACAGTATTGAATGCAACTGCATCTACTGTTGATTATCACGCCTGGCAAAGCGGAAGCTGTCCTGCAAATAACACTCTTTCATAGCGGAGATTTCTAGGGAAGCATCTTAATACCACAAAACCTCGTTAATGCAAGCCACATAAATAAATCACTGGCTTTTTCACTTTCAACAGCCTGGTTAACTGCAGAAGATTTGTTAGTAGAGTTTTACATACCATGTGGAATTCCAAAGTTTAAATGCCCATGTAAACATCCACCTGGGCCCACCCATCTTCCCCATTTAATGATAACCAAAACCTGCTTCCGGATCTGGCACCACTTTCTGTCTCATAGCAAAGCCAGACTTGCCTTAACAAGAGCTTCCGGCCCGTGTCTTGTGATCCATGTTTTTAGCTGTTATGGTGAGCCCGTTCCGTTTCCCCTTAACTGCCGCACGGCTCTGTGTGCAGACGGGAGGATCTTTGCCACTGGCCGAGATCTATAACACAGGCCGATGGTGGGGTCAACCAGCTAACATGCAGCTTTTCTTCTCAAAAGGTGATTTCCCCAAGGATCCAACAAACACAATATTATTGCTTTATGAATTTGAAGCCAAGGCGAAGTTGAATGACCCGGCAGTGGCCAGCCTGCTGGATCACGTGTGGGAGCTGCCACAAGCGGATGTTAAGACCCTTGAAACGATGGCATGTAAGAGATAGACTTGTATCTTAGCTGTTTCCCATGTGTTAGTGTGTGTACAATAATAATTGTGTGTTGACAAGTCAGTTCTGACTTATGGCAACCCTTTTCAGGGTTTTAAAGGTAGAGAATAGTCAGGACTGGTCTATTATTCCCTTCTTCTGGGGACATCTTGGGACTGTGCAGCTTGCTCAAGGCCACGCAGGTTGGCTCTTCTCGGATACACAGTAGGGAATCAAACTCTGGTGCCACAGCCAGATACCTAACTCACTCAGCTATACAGTCAGCATATACTGTACAGTATGTGTATACTATGTACGTAAAACCTGTTACATCAAGCCCAATATCTTTTCTGTGGGAAACCTGTTTCCTGTTGAAACCTGAAAGAATCTCAGCTAGCTCTCTTTGATGCCTTGCGTGCTCTGTAGCAGCAGCCCATCTGGCTGAAGTTTGCCCTTGAAAGAGGGGTCACTGAAAGAGCAGGTTGGTGGAAACAGCTCTTTCTCCATCAGGGCAGTTAGGTAGTTTCTGAAGTCTCTAACCTTCTGCCAATACCACCCCAGCCATCCTCACTTGCAGTGTCTCCTTAGACTGGGATGTGGGTCATATCCCACGTGCTAGAACAGAAGCTCCTCACCGAGTCCACCCTCAGCCATTCTCTCACGGACGGCCACGGGCGGCAGGGGCACAGCAAAGCTTAGCGGGTGGCGCTTTAGGCTACAGGAGCGACTCTGCTTTCCATCCTTTCCTTCTTCCCTCAAGCACTGGCTATGGAGTCCCCCGCGCACTATCCCTCGGTGTGCAAGAAAGCCCTCAGAATGGTTTTGACCCTCCTCAGGAAGCAAGAAGCCATGGATACAGTCACACTCAGGTGAGAGACTGCTGCAGGGAATGAGGTTGACTAAGAGCTTTGCTGCCCAGCCTGTACTCTGGCTGTATTTGAAGGTCTTAAAGATGCGGCACTTGTAAATAAGCAATGCCTCTGAACAGAGGAACGCACGAGCTGCTTTGTCTGCTCGTCTCTTTCTTCCTGTTGGCATCATCAATGTGTGTGGCACCCGAGACGGCTTGTGAACTGCCTTTTCTTTTGAGCTTAAGAATAAGAGGCATGTATGGGTGCCTCCCTGTCACTCAAAACACTCTGAAAATAGCACATCCTTCGGTGAACATCCGTCCTCCTGAGCTGTGGAGAGGAGGGTCAAACCGACAGCTGTAGAGAGACATGCTCATGTAGCTGCTTGCTTCCCGTGGGCATGATTGACACGCAAGGAGATGCCTTTTGATGTGCCAGACCCTTGGTCCACCCGAGTCTGGCCAGCAGCAGTTGCTCTCCGGCGTCTTGAGTCAGTGCTCTTTCCAAGCCCCACCTGGAGATTCCTGGTGTTCCAAGGACCAACGGGGTCTGCCCTTGCATGGCTTCCCAAATCAGATCTGGTTAGTTCAAGGTGGGATGATGGCTTCACAGATCATTAAAGAAGGCACCATGCAGATGCCTGGCCGAGGAATTTCCTCACCTTGCTTTTGTTGTTGTTTCTTAGCAAATGTCTACACAGCCTGGTCCACCTTTCTTTGCCATCCAGCATGAGCAGTGACACTGAGGTTTCTGCAACGGAGGAGGCCTGGGGCTATTTTGAAGACGCTCTGAGCATTCTGAGCAGCATGGTGAGTGGGGCAGGAAAGCAGGGCACAACGTCAAAAACGCTTTTCCCCTCTGACAGCCGACTGCAAACGCCTGGCCCTTCCAGCCCTATCACGGTCTGACTCCAGGGGAGGCAAATGCAGTTGGGAAGGCCAAGCACTCAAGGCCCACAAGTGCTTTTAGCCACTGGTGCTTTTGACGCCTGAATGACATGCCTGCACGCGTAATAGACTTCTAGGGGAAGACATGCAGAGCTTCATTTCTATGAGTGCTGCAAACTGGACCTCATCTCTACTGGAGTCTGGGCCAGTTATGGCAATGGGCAAAGTGTCCCTCTGCTCACCTTGGTCTACAGGTGGGGAAGGCCAATGGCTTTCCCGATGTTGCTGCATCACCACTCCCATCAATTCTATCGGAGATCGCCAGTGGTGAGGGACACTGGAAGATGTAGCCCAGCATCACTGGGAGAGCTGCACTTTGCCCACTCCTTTGTTTACAGCCATCTGAGGAACGCAAGAAACATTCTACCAGAGTCCTAGAAACTCCCTTGCTTAAGAAATTATAGCCTGTGTGCAACAGACGTTACACAGAGCTGGCTTGATAGGGCAGCTCTGATCAGCCTTCTGTACTTCTGGGGGTTGGCAGGTGCTGCAGGCGAGCTATCCAGAGGTGGAAATACTCTGGCTCCTGGCCAGAGCTTGGAACACAGGCATAGGCTACTACTGCGCTGGCAGATACCAGGAAGCAGAGCGGTGGTGTGGCTTGGGAATGCGCTTTCTGCCTCACTTAGGAACTCTGAAGAGCAGCTATGAGGGCCAGGTAAGGAAGGATGAGTTCCAGCGCAATGTGTTGTTTAGTCGTTACAGGTGTTCTAAAAAGCACCCAGTGTAATGCCTGTTAGTGCGTGTGTGCGCGTGGGGGGAAGATCCAGATATGTAGCATGAATTGGGAGCACTGGCAGCTGTTAAGTCTTTGCAGTCATTTGTGTTAAAGCACCTGGCCTTGCTTGAGTTGAGAAACTGGCTCAATGTGTGCATGAAGATATTAGTCCTTCCAAGAAACAGCTGAAATCTAGAGGGCAGCCACCACTAATGATCTACTGTTCCCCAAGAAGATGCCTGTGTGAGTGTATGAGATTAGCTGTGACACCCGCCCACCAGGGCTGTGATGAAGGTTAAAGCTTTTCGCCTCTGGGCAATATGGAAATGTTAAGTATGGATTTGCTCTCTCTGGCTGGAAGAGGTGCCCGTTCTTGGTGGGGTTTTATATTAGGCAGAGAAGGTGTTATCATATGCTGGGTTTAAGTTTTCCCGGAGGTCTCCTTGAAAGCTGATCCTTGAGTCAGGCTGAACATCCCTGGCTGGTTGACCAACTGTGGGTGACCTCTGTCCACAGATGATTAGCCTTTACAGCGAGGTGCTGGAGAAGCTGGACAGAGCAAAGGGATTCTACCCAAAGGAGGAGTGACAGCCACCAAGGCCACCCCACAGCTGGCAGATGGTCTTTAGCCATGACCTCTGGAGCAGGAGGAAGTCTCACTGCAATATTTCATGGAGCAGAGGTGCCCCCTTTATCAGAGGGAGACTGCCTCTCATGAAGCCAGAGTTGCGTCTTCTGCGCACATTTAAGGACAGTAAGATTTCAGAAAAAGGCAGAACAATAAAATAGTCTAAGCCTCCAAAAAGCTTCCATGTTTGTCTCCCCATATAAATATTTACCCACTTGTTTAACTTTTCATCCATTGCAGTAGAAGCAGGAATGCAGTCTCTCAAACATACAGTATCTATATTTACACTCACAGGCCCCAACCGGAGCTATTGCCTCTGGTAAGGGCTGGGGAGAATCGGGCAGGAAGAGGCCAGCCAGCCTTCACAAGGGTTTCATGCACAACAGGTGGTCGTGGTCTTTGTGACCACAGAGCCTCCTTCCATCTGTTACCACTGTTCTCTTTTGAGCACCAGGAGTTTCTCCTGTCCATGGCAACTGTGCAAGTGCCCCTGAAAAGCCCCTGGGGGTGTGGCTCAAACTACCCAGGGGGCTTCTCATTTAGCGCCAGGCTCCTCCCACAGCTCCCATATTCTTTTCTACAGAAATAGGAGGCACCATTAAGAAGGCCATCACGCATGCCTGTGATGGGGCCTTTGTCCCAACATACAAGCTACATGAATGTCATGGTAAATCTTCCTTAGTTTGAGCCTAATTAACACAGGTTTGCGTAAGATGCCCTTAGGTCCAATACAGTCAAAAGGGAAATAATACATAAACATCTGGTTCATGTGTTCTGGTCTGACTTTTGAGGGCTTCCCCACCGTAGCCCCATATCTGGAAGCTGCATGTCAGATGTGTGCAAACTAGGTTTCAAACCCATCGCTTTTAGGATTCCATCCATCACATGGGGGGGGGGGCTTCCCTACACAAGAAACCCTCAGCAGACAAGCTCATTGCAATGTTCTGTTTATTAAAAATATATGTCTCCTCGGAAGAAACACTGGTAAACCAACTAGTGTCATGATTGGTACTTTCTGCTATGCCATGGAGTACGTAGACTTTTCCTCCATGGGCCTAGAAGACAAGGTGACAGGCTATTAGAAAATAAAAGGAGTCGGAGCCTGAGAAGCTGTTTCTATCGTGGCTGAGCAGAGGAAGGTGGTGGCAGCCCCTCGTCGGAATGCCCTCCCCCCCCTAGGGACTCGCGCAGAAGATCAGCTCCCTTGTCTTGGTTCTTCACTGTCCTTCCAGCAAAGAGCAGCTCTAGGTCCAACCCAAGGCCCACTTGACGTTTCTTGCAACACCAGCTGACGTGCAAATGGCTTCTTGCTTACCAGAATGAATCTCCGCAAGATGACAGTTTTCACCCATGTTTAACAATGAAGCCCGTGCACAAATCACACAATGAATGACACAGCTACCTACCAGCTATGAAGTGGGACCATCACCCGGCTACAATCTGAGGCCTGCCCCTACTCGCTGGGATTCTGGCCAGGAACGTGTGGGTCTCTTCCCAGAGTAGCCATGGCTCTCACTCCATGGAGACTAGATGCGAACAATCACCTGCTTCAAACTTGGAGATGAGACTAGGAAAGTGAGCAAATCTTCCCCTTTGGCTAATAAGCGAGGGCTTGTACCGGATGCTGAATCCTTGGAAATTCCTTCCAGGATTCTTGACGATCCAACTTATTCTCCCATTCAGTGTTCAAACAGAGAACGTTGCAATCACAGAGTTCACATACTGACAGAAATCACTTAGGATGAGCACATACCAAGGCTTCCCAGAAGTAGCTGGCTTCAGTCCATGGAAGACGAACAGTCTGTGCCTCATAATGGAGCATTCTGAATTCCTTCCTTCCTTCCTTGCCTGCCTTGAAGAACAGCAAGCACAGGTTGGTAGCAAGGGACAACCGGGGGGAGGGGGGCATCTCTGTAACAAGAATTACGCAGAAATAGAAGGGAAGTGGGATGATGCTCTTCTTCACAGAGCCAGTGACTGTGCGCTTCGCTGGGAAAGGCTTCACATGTCACAACCAGAACTGGGCACCGTTCTGCTAAAATAAGGATTCTGGAGAAGTCGGCCCTAAATTCCATCACATGGTTGAAGAATCGTGTCCCTTTACGACACAAGTTTCTCTCCCCATTGTGGCCTGGCTGCTGCGTCGAGCTGCTCACTGCATGGGGCGCCAGATCCTTCCACCAGAATCAGTCTGTAGAGGGATGGAGTTTAGTCTTTCCACAGGGAACTGGCCCCACGGCAGCACAGAACAGCTGGTGTGCTCATTCCACGTGGTCTTAGGATAGGTATGGGCTTGGAATCTATTTACAACGGAACCATCTTAAAAAATAAGTTAAAAAAACTGGATTGAATACCCGTTCAGTTCGTTATTAAAATCAAAAGCTTGGGAATAATGAAAAGCCAACACACCAACACAAACATGATTTTGGTTTAACACCAGCTTAAAAAAAAGAAAAGAAAAGAAACCTCTCATGCAAACACATCAGATGACATAAAACAATGTGCAATTAATATGTAGCATTATCCATTCACTTTCTCGTGCTCAAAACAACCGCTGTAACTTCAGATGTGGTTCTGGGCTCACTGCTTGCTTCACACTCAAGGATGGCAGCTTCTGTTTTTCCCAAATGCAGCCTTCTCCACATAACCGGCTTTGAAAAACCACTGAGCAATACCCAAAAGCACTGAGTACCGTCAAATTCATTCCCAGCCACAAAAGGTTTCTGTGCCCCGTGGCTGAGGTGTGGCAGCAATATTATTCTTGCACGCACAAAGTACCATTTAAGCAGCCTCCCCCATGTTTTCTAGTCCATATATATAATATATAGCATATATATTATATATAAATTACATACATAGATAAATAAATGCATTCTGTTGCCTTTCCTTCAGTCACAGTGCTGGGCGATCACTGCACTCTTGGAAAAGCTGCCCCAAGCTGCTAGTCCTCAGCATGTCCACGGGGCAGTCCAGGTCCATTGCTATGACAGCTCTTTAGGCTAGTCTTCATCTGCCATCTCCCATCTTGCTTCTTGACTTTTTAAGTTGAGTTGATTTTTTTTTACTTAAAAAACACACAAAACTGTCAAATGGGGTTTGTCTCCATTTCTAAGGGAGCAGCAGGAAGGTCCATGCAGGAATGATGGGGACAGTCGCTTGATGAAGGAGATGAGTCCATCCCGAGAAAAAGAAAAACAGGACTAGAAAACTCAATGGTCAGCCATCTAAAAAAGGGGACAGGGATGGTCTTCTTGCTCCCCCTTCTCTTGGGGCAGAGGGCAGGGGGAGGGGTCTCTGGTCTTCTCACAAGGTGATTGCAGGATAGGGGCTTCACAGTTTCTCAGGGGATGGGACCCAGATATAATGCCCAGACTGGTCCTCTATTATCTGTTTGATTTTGCTGTAAATCTCTTCCAGAGAGTCTCCTTGTACAATGGCTGTGGGGACGGAGGAGAGGAGACAAAAAAAAGTTTTATGAGAAAGAGGCAAGACCTTAGAAACCACCCTGTCAGCAAGTCACACTCCCGATCCAAGACAACCATCCTGTGTAACTGTGGCTTCAAAGGAAGGCCGTCTCCCTTCCTGGGCTCCTGGCTCCCCCCACCTCCCAATGGAGACAGCATGCCAGAACAATTAGCCAGTCACTGGGGAAGCTCTTGGCTTGGCCAGAGTGTCCCCAGGACTGCTCCCTACATCGAGTGCCTCCCCCCTTCTGCAAAGGACCACCCCTCACTTTGGGTTCTGTTAGCCACCCCTACTGCAAGGCCATCTTGTTCCACAGAAAGCCAGCGGCTGGCCAGGTTCTTCAGCACACTCTTACTGATGCTCCAAGGACACAGACATTCTGTCCGCTCCCCTCATTTGGTCTAAAATCATCCCCTTCTCCATTTCAAGACATGTGTGAAGCCTCAGCATCTTCAAACCCTTGTGGAGCAGCAGTAAAATGTTCTTCTTTGCCTTTGCCTCTGCTTAGGGAGCCCAACAATTTAGCTCCCTCCTTACATTCTTTTGATTTTTCCCAGCCCTACAATAAAGTGTGAGTGTATGGTGGCTACTCCCTGCAGCGCTTCCTCACCTGTAAAATACTCTCCAAACTCCTGCTCCAATTTCATGGCTTTATCAAAGACCTTGTTGGCTTGCTCGTATGTCTGCCTCCGGTTCATCTCCCTGCCGACCCAAAGAGAATAAGCTCAGTAGAACTGTAAAAGATCTGACACAAGCCCATGCTCGTTTCTGCATGCTTTCATCCAGGAATATAGAAACAGGCTTATAAGGTGGCTAGGCTGACAACCAAAATGTTCATTTGTCCCCACAACACACACCTTCCCCCAGGCAAAAGCAGCAACCCTGAAGGAATTCAGTAGCAATGAATCCACACTTGTGACATCAACACAGCCCAGATGTGGAAGAGGCCCAGTTACCAAATCCCCATCACTTCAGGTTTTTGAGGGAGGCAGGGGGAGCCTGACTCTCAGCGAGCACACACAGCGCTCCATCCCCTGCCCCAGGCCTCTCGCTTTTCAAAGAGCCCAAGATGGCGGTGCTTCCTCCCTGCAACCTGCTTCTACAGCTGGTGTCTCCAAGACATTCTTCCCATTTTCAGGAGCAAGCAGTCTCTCCATCTGCGCCCCCCCCCCCGGCAAGCAGCATTCCGGCTGACCTAAATTCCCAGCTTCCACACTACTCACATAAGCGCCTCAATAGATTTCGGCTTGATGAAGATCGCCACAGGATACAGTTGTGCTTGCTGCAACCTCTTGATGGCGTTGCCAGACACATCGAGGATGCAGTGCTTCCCCTGCAGTAGAGCAAGACTGCAGTGACCACCAAGCCCTGTCACCGCGCTTCCACCAAGCTTTCTCAGTCGCCCCCACCGCAAGCCCACGGGCAATTCGGCAACCCCAACAGTGACCGAGAGACACCACACAACCCTAGTCACTGACAGAGAAGAAGCCTTTGAGGCCAAGGAGAGCCAGAGGCGGTCTGCTGAGCTGTCCCAAATGGGGACCAGCCTGTACGTTCTTAGGGCTGCTGCCCTTTGGTGTGCAACGGAAGCGACAGCTTCAGAGCCTTTTTGTCTGTGTTCCCCTTCGAGAGTAACACCTTCTGTTGCCCAAGGCCCTAAAAAGTCAGTCGGAGCATGCTCTTGACTTGGGCTCTGGGCACAGGCAGTTCGGAACATGCAAGATGGAGAAGTCCCAAAAAGGTTGCAGCCACAGCTGCTGCTCTGAAGTTTTGGCCCAGAGTGGCACAGCCCACTCTCCAGGCCACGGTTACTCACCCGCTCAGCCACTGCCCGCACAGACTGAATACTCGTCCCATAAAGATTGTCATTGAACTGTCCGGCCTCAATGAACTTGTTGTCTTGAATGTCCTTCTCCATTTGCTCCCGGGACACCACAAAGTGATAATCCTGCCCGTCTACCTCATTCTCACGACGAGGCCTAGTAGTATCTAGAAGAAAATGCACCAGCTCTTTCTGCTGTTCAAGAAACAATGCCCTCCTCTGTGGGCCCAAAGGCCCTATCAGTTGCTTGCGCATCAGTAGGCGTGGCTCTATCTGCCTACAAATGGAGCCTGATGCAAAAAGGAGTAGCCCAGAAGAAGAATCGGGACACCCCCCCCAATGGACCTTCTCCTTCGGACACCCAGAGTGTACAGGACTTACCATCGTTACCCAACTAGACCAGTTGTCCTCATGTGCCAGTCAGCACTTCCCTCTCCAACTGCCAGGGCCCAAGGGAGGCGAGGGGACCAGCACTTACGTGGCACACAGGAGCCAAATTTGTGTGGGAACTCCGAGATGAGGTCATCATTGATTCGGTCCTTCATGGGTCCCAGAACTATCACTGGCCTCGCATAGTGAACTGGAAAAACAGCCACAAAATTGAAAGGGGGCTTTAGGGTACAACCAAAAGCAGGTGAAAACTACCAAGGAAAAGTAAAAGGCAGGGACATCAGAGCTAAGTTGCCCATCATCCACACTGAAAAGCAGCAAACTCTTTTCTTTTCAACGTACTTTCTTGCCGCGTCACAGGTTCGTATGACAAAATGGTGTCCTCTTGTCCTTCTAAAAAAAAAAAAATTGGAAAAGAAAGTGTCAGCCTGATCTGGTAGCAACATTCCTACCTCTTTTGGAGTAACATGAGGGTAGCGACATGTATACATTTGTCAGGCACCCAAGCCTCTCTTCTCCCCCCCCCCCCACCCTGGGAAGTCATTTTTCTGCATGGTCAGTAAAAAAGCAAGGGTTCCCCTGCACTGGGTGCTTTTCACCAAACTCAATGATCAGGGAAAACATGGAACCAAAAAGGTGCAGCTAAAGGAAGTCCCTGACCGGCAACACTGGGAGTGGGAAAGGCAGAGGAACCCGGGGGTTTAAATACAAAAACGTCTGAACAAGCAGAGAGGCACTTACTGGAGCTGCTCTCGCTGTCACTGGTGTTTGATGTCACGCCCTCTGCAACAAGAAAACATCGCTAATTCAGTATGACTCTGAATTAAGAGTCACTGATAAACAGAGATGAACACAAGAACTGGGGGAGGGGGGAGAGAGAAGAATAGCGCAAGGACAGAGTGGACAGACAGCGGGTACATGCTCTACTGAACCACAACTCTTCTGCCCAGACAAGAGCCCAGAGACTGCCTCCCTCCAGCACTTGTCTCCAGCAGAGGAAGCCCAAGCACAAGCAGGGGTGAAGCACAGACATCCAGCCCCCTTCCTAGTCTGCTTTTTCCCTGGGCCGCTCCCTAGCGTGTAATCCTGCCACTGGGAGCCTCTGGTGAGTTCGGGAGAAGTGAGGCCCTGGAAGCGCATGCAGGGGAAGACAAGGCCCAGATTTTGGGGGCACCCGTCTCTAGCACAGGGCTAACAAAGGGCAGACGTCCAGGCCTTGCCCGGGCAGGACTTTGCCAACATGAGGCCCTTCCGGCTGCCCTGCCCCAGACCCGCTCCTGGTCCTTGCCTTCTAGTGAAACCCTCTCACTGCACGCTGGGGGTGGGTGGGCTGTCCTTGAGGACCACGTTCACAGGCTGGAAGAGGTCTACACTCTCTCAGTCAGTTGGCCCAAGTGAAGTTAAGAAGCGGACGCAGTCGGTCTGGGCTCTGGGGGAAAGGTGGCTGCTCCAAACAGACCGCCTGCTTGTTCCCAGTCACACACATGCTAGCAATGGAAAGTGATCATGTGCAGTGAAATTCCACTTACTCAGATTCTTTGCGCCATAATAATCGTCACTTAACCCAGGGAAGTCCTGATTCACAGTCAGCCAGAAAGGGGAGAGGGAGAGGGGAGAGAAAGGAAAGAGAGAGAGAAGGAAAGAGAAAGAGAGAGAGAGAGAGAGAGTGGGGAGGAGAGACAGAGCCAGGAGAGCATTAATGACAGGAGTGCAGAATGGCTGCGAGCTGCAAGAGCAAGTGAAGTTAAAGCTCCTGACCCACACTGGCTAAGTAAGGCCCTTTCTGTCGCCAAGCTGCTCACAGGGCACTCAGATGCTCCTGCCCAGAGCCCTTGCTCAGATACCCCACAAAGCCCAAGGATCCGCAGCACCAGGCACCTAGGGGAATTCAGACCATCCTCTGCGTTCCTTCCCCAAAAGAAGACAGATCATGAACACGGGAAACCATTGCAACTGTCCTCAGTGGCCTGTGAAAGAAAAGTTCCCAGCTGGGAGGACATGGCCCTCTGTCTTTCAGTCGTTAAAGGGACCAGGCTGGCCACTGGCACCAAAAGGACCTCCTTATTCTCTTGACGCCCCAACCCAGAAAATGGGCCAGGAGGCAGCAGTTTGCACCGAGAAGCACACTACTAAGCTGCCACCACCAAGGGCAGCAAACACTGTCGCCAGCAGCGGGTGCCGATCCCTATTCTGCTGCGGACTGCAGTCCCCAGCAAGAGACCATCACTGAGTGCGCAAGACAGAGGAAAGATCCAGCCCCAGAAAGCAGCCCAGCTCTCCAGGGTAGAAACCAGCCTGGCCTGGGAAGTCCTGAACGGCTACCATTTTGTGGAGCCGTAAGCACCTGAGCCCTGGGGATCTCCACACTTCTCACCACTGGCTCCCTAAAAGCTAGCAATGGCAGACAAGCTTCCCGCATGGAGATGTTCACGCCTGGCATCCTGATCCTTCCTTGTGCTTTGCCTTCTAGAGGGGCAGACCATCATTCTGAGCTAAAGGACATGTTTTGCAGGCAGGAAGAAGGTCCCAAGTTCAATCCATAGCATTTCCCATCAAAGAGACTGGATAGCAGGAGACGGGGAAGGGGCCGGTAGCCAGCGTGGAGAGTAGGGAGCGAGGTGGACAAGCGGGTCACCTGGTATAAGGTGGCTTCTTTACTACGGGCATTGCAGTAGTTGGGGAAGTATGGCAGAGGGCACGGGCCCCACAGCAAGCAAGCTGCATACTAACCCCCACCCCCACCCAAAGGCTTCCTGCAAAGGTAGGAGAGGTCTTTCATCAGTGACTTGTCATTAAGAGAAGATCTCCTATTAAGTCCTACGTCAGGCAGCATGTCTGCTGCGGGAGTGTCACCCCATCAGCCCAAAGGTTGCAATCGACATGAATTGTGTGCAAGAAGGCATATATTTGCAAACTTTGCCCAAATTATTCTCTATCCTGGGACGAGGCAAGTAGCTCCATTGGCCACCGAGGTCCCTTGCTGCCCCCAACGGCACACCCAGTGACCCCCCACAGGGACCGGCTCTGCCAATGGACAAAAGGGCCCGCTGGCCAAGTGGAACTGGTGTTCCTTCAGGCAGCCAAAAAGGCAAGAGGAGCAAGCACCTCAAGGTTAGACAGAGGCAGGATACTTCAAAACTCCTGGCAAAACCAGGCCCCCAAGGGATGAAGTTACAGATCATTTGGTACAGGCGGGACACAGGAGAGCAAGCAGCAGTGGCGGGGGGGCGCACACGAGTGTGTGTGTGTGTGTGTGTGCTTCAGCCTCCTCTGCCTGTTTTTCCAAGAGGGGGAAAGAGACTCGGCACAGCTGGGGCAGGGTGGACACGCTCCCTCAGAGGACCTTCGGGAGTCTGTGGGGAGCACAGGTGGGGGTCACTTGAGATCTGACCAGAGGGCACAATTCTTATCGTGGCGCAAGATCCGGCCCAACCTTACAGCCCCTGGTGCTGGAATGTGTTCTCCTCGGGAGCCGCACGCTGCTTCTTGCCGACCGCGGCAGCAGGAGCCTCCCGAGCCAGAGTTTGAGCAGGGCAGCGGCTACTTACGTTCCTGTCCGCTGCTCTCCTGGGCCATGTTCTCTTTGCTCTTGTAAAATGGGAATTTTCGGGAGAGGCGGAAACTCTTTTTACGTTTCGTTTTGATCGACTGTGAAGAAGGTGGAGATGGAAGGAGGGGGCAGAAAGAAACAAACAAAAAGAAAAACAAAAAAACAAACAAACAATGGTATTTAAAGCATGCAAGAAAAATTAAAATGAGTCGACAATGATGATCAGAGCCAGGGAAGCCACCCCTCAAATGAAATCATGGAAATTACATGTAAACGGGAATGTAAAAGGAAAATTAACAAAAGGGGATGGGAATGGAGTATAGGGGATGGTCGAAGATGACTAACCAATTCATAATGTCAGAGCAAAATAAATACATAAACAAACAAACAAAGAAAACGGTGTGTGTCCTTCTGTTCTCCCTGCCAGACACACATGTTGGAAGAAGCAACAGCAATGGCGCCTTGCCCTCCCCTCTGGCTGTCCTGCCACCCAACTCAGCTCCCCCACAGTCATGGGCATGGCGCCCCCCCGCCCGTGTTCTCTGAGCCAGCTTGAGTGAATCTGGGGTTCTGTGAAGAGCTGCAAATCCGGCTGCTGAAAGGGCAAGGAGGCAAGGAGGCAAGTCCTATCCCCATTGCCATGGACAAAGAGAGCCTGAGGTGTGCTCCCTCTACAAAATCTAGGCCCGTGATGGCTAACCTTTTTGAGCCCAAGTGCCCCCAAACTGGGGGGGGGGGGAGGAAACAACCCAGCAGAAGTGGCAGCAGAAGAGGGAATCCCGGGCATGGAGGTGCCTCCGGACCCCACTCCGGATCTGCCTCCCATCGGGCCCAACCCCCGCCAGCGCCAGCTGCTCCGGATCCTGGCCTGCCGCCTGTCGGGGCACTAGCACCATGACGGCAGCCACCTCCTCAGGTTTGGCCGCTGGGGGTAGCGATCTGGCGACATATGGCTCACATGCCTGCAGAGAGGTCCACGCGCCCTAGGTTCGCCATCACTGACCGAGGCGCAGCCCATCAACTCCCATCTAACAAAACAGGGCACCCTCTTGAAAGGAACAGGGTTTAACCTCTGTCGTCTCTATTGGTCTCCCAACTCTTGTATTTATTTAAAAATATTGTTTAAAAGCATTTATATATTGCATTTCTGCACATCAGGGCCCACCAAGCAAGGTATAACAAAATCATAATCACAAAGAAACAGGGGGGAAAACATTCTCTAAGCAGAGACTAGAAACCGTTTTAGAAGGCAAAGCTTTTTAGTACTCCTTCCGTTGCTTCCCTTCCCCTCCAAACCAGCACTTACTCGGTTGGATTCTATCATCCCAGTTCGGGCGTGGAACTTCACAGTTTTTAATCGTGCCCTCTCCTTCTTTTCCACCCTGAGAAAGAAAGAAACTCTCATGTTCAAACGGGATTTGGGTGCCATGCGGATCCTTGTCCCTCACCCTTCCGCTTTTCTCTCACACGGGTTTTTTGCTCTTCGCTTGGTTCAGGAGCTGATGGCACAGAAATGGGGGATGAGCCCATTCTTTCTCCAGCCTCTGTGGTGCTGCATTAGATGGGGCACAACCACACAGAGGCACGTACCCTGTGGGAGCACAGTGCCTTCCCTCCCCAGCAAGGCAGGAAGGACAGCACTCTCCTCGAGGGAAACCAGAGAAGAGCCAAAACAAAGCAAGAAGTACTGCCATTCCAGCCCTCACCTCTTCTTGCTTGGGATGACTCCAATCTGCTCACTCTCTCCATGAGGCGTCACCAGTCTTGCCTGCCACCACTCATCATCTGAAGCATTGATAACGTGCAAGATGTCCCCGTAAGAAAAACTGAGTCCTTGACTGGGCAAGCAGCTGTCCCGAGTTCGGTCATAGTCAAAGAGGGCCCTGAACAGGAGCGAAGCATGTTAGAAGCAGAGGAAGAGGCCTTGGGCCAAAAGAGAGATCACTGGACCTTCCAGCTCAGCGCTGGCAGGTGGCAACTGGCTCTCCAGGATTTCACCTGAAATCTGCCAGCCAAACAAATGTAGGAGATGCCCTTGGTATGCCACGCCACAGCCCTACCCAGGCCTCATAAATTCCTCTCCTGGCCACAAGAGGGGTGGCTTTCAGCTCCCTTTCCGGAAAGCCAGGCCTTTGTGCATAGCTGTCTCCTGGCAAAATCTGTGGCGCGCCCTCCCAAAAGGAGTGTCCGTGTCAAGCTGAGATTTGCTTCCTGCTTCAAACAGCACCTCGGTCAAGGCCAGATCATGCTTTGTAACCTATTACAACCAGCCTAGTAATTATCCCTACCTGCGGTATGACAGGCTATTCCGTCAGTTTCACTTTAAATTGTCCTCGAAACTACCCCACCTGGAAGGGCTGGGTCTGCTGTCCCAAAGCACAAAGGGACTTCACCAAGCGCCACCTCAACCGCAAGAGCAACTGAGAGTCTGTTACACAAGACAGCTTAGCACTCAGCAGGGAGCAGCTCTGGCTGCACAGCCAGCCTTTTCTAAAGGCAAAGCAGGTGAATCGGAGGGACCACCTATGGGGCCGGTGAGCTCCAAAAGACGGCCAGAACAGTCCTCAGGCACAAAAAGGGGGGGGCGCGGCTCGGCAACAGCACACCAGGACTAGAATGCCTTAAGGGTGCCATGCTGCACAAGGTTCTAGCAAGGCTCAGTGACAGAAAGCCTTGTGCTCGTGCCAGCTGCTTACGCCTGAGAGGTCTTCCTGGGACAATGGATCTCCTGGCTCATGGCACTCATCCTGTGGACCCAGGAGCAGCCGGCTTATCTGTGGGGCCTAGGACAGTGGTAAGTAGGGGCAGGAAAAGATGATGAAGAAGCAGCCCAGCTGCTGCAGGCTCATCTTGTACCTAATTGCTCTACCCAATTAGCAAACTCTAATCTCTAATCCGACTAAGAGCTCATCCTCCTTGCAGGCAGAAAAGAGGCAGCAGGCACTCCACGGAATACTACCTTCACACAGAGTATGATCTGGAGCAAATCTGCGCTGCTGGCCAATGTTTTCAACTGAAAGGGCTTTGCACCCACAAGGCACGGCCCACCTAACTGCCTTGGTTCCCCACAGGACATCAGCGCACCACCTTTAGTAACATGAACAATGCATCACCCTGGCAAAGGGAGGCTCCCAGGGCAGCATTTAGTCCCTTGGCCTAGAAGGACAGCACCCAAAACAAGGAGCTTCCTTTCAAGGAGACCCACCCACCCCTGTAGAGTAAGGGCACTACTCAGGTGCTTTCAGCTACCGGAGACAAAGTTAAGGGTACACAGGCTATCCAAGCCAGTGTGGCCTTAGTCAGGGCAACGCTAAGCGTTTTCCACAAGGTTGCACCACAAGATAACCCTCCCTGGGGGAACAGGATGACAAACCTACAGGGCTTCCACTGGAACCCCACACACAGCCAAACTTTAAAGATGATTCAGCTAGGAGAGCAGTTTTCTTACCGTACATAGAGAGACCGCTTTTCACTTGTTCGAAGTGAGCCAGATCCTGAACTCATGCTGCTGTTCATCATCTGTTCTCTGAGGTCATGGATCTTAGACTCAAAACGGCTATACTCTGAAGGAAATACAGGAGAGAATTGACAATGTAAAGTATTGCTCTGCCTATTCCCTCGTTCAGTTAAACACCGTGGATTATAAATATTTCATACAGAAGGACCAAAGTATTGCTCTGCCTATTCCCTCGTTCAGAAGAACCGAAGAAGCAGACCTTATCTGCGGCTTGCTGTTAACTGTCAGCGGCAATGGTGTATTGGGACTGTGGGCTGCATACCTTATAACCCTCAAAAAGAACAGCGAATGACCTGAGCAATGGATTCCAACAGAACTGCTGTTCAGCTGCATTTAGCATGCTGCATGGAGAGAATGGGTGCTCTATCTCAAAAACAACACTGCAAACAGAACTGCTGTTCAGCTGCATTTAGCACGCTGCATGGAGAGAACTCTGGGTGCTCTATCTCAAAAACAACACTGCGGAGTCGGAAAGGATGCAGGGGATGTAACACGGCTGATAAGGAACAGCTGAGGAATTGTGGGCTTTCTGTTCATGGGACAACTAAGATGGAACACAACAATGATTTATAACATTACAAGGGATATACAGGAAGAGAGCGGACAGCCCTTTCTCATCCTCTCACAGTGCTAGAACTCAAGTCACCAACAATAAGATAACTTTGCTGCAGCCTCGGAATGTGCTGATGGCTGGAGATTAAAGAGCTTTCAGAAAAGTAGGAAAGGGCAGAGAAGACACCCATCCATAGTTCTTGTGAGCTCGGCTAGTTAAATGGGGCCTCCAGGCTCAAGGGCGGTGGGTGTCTAATGGTGGATGTGGGACACAGTGTGGGAATGCCACCATATTCTTACAACATCATCATTTTATTTTGCATCCCACCTTTCTCCCAGTAAAGGGACTCAAAGTGGCGCACAACAGCTAAAGAGTGTGTATATTTAAAATCATAATGAATCAAGATATTAATATAAAAATGTAATTATGCATTAAAATATCACAAATTTAAAATACATGATATTAAAATAAATTTAAAATATGATATTAAAATGTGTCACATCCTTACTAAAATCTTCCATCCTTCCATGGCATTCACAGATCAAAGGACAATCACAGACTCGTGGAATAATTGAGTTGGAAGGGGCCAATTGGGCCATCGAGTTCAACCCCTTAATTTTCACCAGCCAGCAGAAGGACATCAGGGAGAGGGACAACCTCCAGGGAAGGAGGGAGATATGGGGAGATACATATGGCCACATAGGATCCAGACTATTTTTTAACAACAACAAAAATTACTGAAAAATTAGAGGTGCAGGTAAAGATGCAACAAGACACTGATCAAGGTACAAGCACCGGTCGGCCATTCCAGAGGGTTTTCTGGCCTGTTGCCAGCAACAAGCATTTCTTTCCTGAGCCAAAAGCTTTCCAGAAGCAACTGGCTCTCCAGCCACTGCTGAAAACAGGAGGAAACTTAACTACAATCCAAAAGGCTCCTGGTCTATTTTCAGTTCTTGTTCTGTACACTGTCAGAACGTGCATTCATGATGCTGCGCTAATATAATATGGGCATTTATGTATAAAGTGCTTTGCCATTTTTGATCCGTCTGTGCCAAAGGGCAGACCACAGTGACATATTATGCATAAGGAAGCAGCCTTTGGTTCTGCCCATTCAATTCAAGCAACGCACCTCCTTTTTTCCAGCATCATTATGTTCAACAGGCACACAACACATTGCAGGTGCTATCTGCTTACCATAACTGACCATGAATAAGCTATAAAACGGTTACACATTTACAATGGTTTGCTTAGCAAGATGGTGTGACCAAAAAAAGATGGGACAAGCATACCTTAGCAGACATCCACTCCCCCAGAGCTGTACATGTTCTGCAGCACAATACACTCTGTCATGCCTATGGCAACCAAGAGCTTCTACTCTTACTGGGAAGGACGACCTTTCCAAACAACAGAGCAGCACAGTGCACAGGGCTGCCGGCTCCCTAAGATTCAGTGGGCACTAGATTTTAAAGAATGGAATACCTGGATTACAGAGAGAGGCATTTATACAAACCTTCCTGGTTCCCAAAGAGTATCAGCTAAATGCACCTAACAAAGTACACTGCAAGACCAGACCTTTCACCAAGAACACTGCCATGACAACCAGAAGACCCACCTGGCCTATGCATCAATCAGAGCAGAAGCAGCTCAAGAGGGCTTGCTTTGTTTCTCTCTGCCTGAAAGAACACTTAAGAATTTTGTAACATACAACCCGTGCCCAAGTTCGCTTTTCCCCTTTCTCCTTCTTAATGTATCATGCCTCTTACAATAGAAACCTGAGTGCATGAAATATCTTATTATTTAACCATCATATGATGATTTGGAAGTCTTGAAGTACTGGTTAAAATGTTCTGAATTCATAAATTAGGTGCACAGTTATATGGCCCTTAAAAGCTTTATTTGCAAGCCAAATGACGGATGCAATATTTGCAAGATACATCACACTACCAAAGAACTGCAGAAGCTGAATTAAATAAGAAAATTCAGGATGTTGTGTATCATAGCCTCTCTTTTATTCACTGCCTCATTCTGATTCTTCTAACACATCTAACACCAACAACTGCCCTCAGACACAACCCTGACCTTCTGATGACATTTTCTGCTTGCTTTCCCTCTTGAATAACAAGTATACCAAAGCTAAAACACTGACTAATATTCCCATTATTATCTAATAACTATGCAAACCACATTCCATTACATTTTCGTTACTGAATAAAAGTCAATTTAGTAACACACTCGAGTCCTATGACACAAACAAACTGGTTTACTGTAGCATATACATTTACTTCATTCCAGTATCTCTCAAGGCACAGACTTCTTAAGACCACTTGCATGAAACACTCAAAATTAATTATTTCACATCTAAATAATACAGTGACATTCCTGGAATATCTCTGACTGTAGTCAAGCAACAGGCAAAAAACTGAACAGGCTGGCAGTTCTCATTACCTCTTCAAACCAATATAGTCCTTGTAGGCATGCAATGTGTACTCTAAAAATTAGTGACCAGAACTCTTTCAGGATTTTACTCCAGAATGGAATTATGTTAGTCACAATAGCAAAGGGCAGTTAATTAACTAACAAGGTGCCAGTCACTTGCCTGGTCAAGTGTCTGGCACACTGGCTCCTCATTTATTAGCCACAATTTGCTGCCATGACTTATGTGTCTTCCTTTATTCCAGAGAAGAATCCCAGCAGTGTTGTGGTCAATATGTAAAGCAGGTGTAAAGAAGGGATAGAAAGAAGCAACAAGACCAAAGAGGTCACGCTTTACTTAAAACCTGCACATCAACAGCATTGCTAGACAAACCCAGTAAGTACATGGACATGAGTCCGTAGATCAAAGAAGACTGGGTAAAAGCAAGAAGCAACAGAAATCAATTAGGATCATCCTGGGAAGCAGGAAGGGATAAACTGACAGATCATACCACAACCATCACCAAAATCCTTGCAATGGCTTCTAGGTGTTTGGGAAATGAGATGAGGATCAAGAGAACAGGGCACAAAATAAAAATAATAGGAAACAAACTCTCATCAAACTTGTGCAAATATGCAAATGTAATAATTTGAATATAAATGAATGGGGGGAGGGGGAGAGCGGTTTTCAAATAAAAGCTTAGCAGACAAGCATAGCAACACTTTCTGACCCACTGCCAACGGAGAGACTTCTTCTGGGACTGGCTCACTGGCCAAATAACCTCTTCCAAACTCATCTTTAACAGCAGGACAGAGCCGTCCTTTACAACATGCTTTTCTTTCGTTCCGGGAATGCCAGAGTGTTAGCAAATAGTTCTGGTGCATCATCAGAACAAGGACTCCAAACTCATCAGCGTTTCCAGGACAGACTTTCCCTCTGCTCGGATTTTGGGTTTCACTCTTCCCCTGCATCTCACATTATTCATTTCATTGCACTTGCTTTTCTTCCAGTGGCTGAAGAAACAACGTTGCTAAAACAGTCTAGCACTGCCAAATATTTACTGTTTATTCAAAGCTTGGACACATTAAGCATTTATTGATAAATATCAGTTCCTACCGTATATGATGCTGTGTTAAAACACTGGCTTTTCCTAATTTTTCTCTTTGCTATTAAATGCTTCTGGCTTTCGAAGCCTGAGATAGTCGCTAGAAAGACGGGTTTATATAGTGCAAAGAAATAGTACTTCCTTCTGTCCTGACATTTTCTGAAATAACTTATTTACCACAACATATTTTTTAATAAGGCACAGAAAAGAGTCACAGGTGAAAAAAAAAAAAAAGAAACTTGGCTAACACTGCAGAGGGTTCTACGGAAAGGCTCAGAGCTTGGAAATATCATTACTAGGCTTATGTTCAGGTCAGCGTGTTCCTGGATCGTTAGTTGTGTTTATCCTCATTAGCTCCCTGCTGACCGTGCAGGTTTCGAAAGCTCTCTGACGGAATTTAAGAGAACAATGGTGGCTATACTGGACTTTTCTGTCACCAAGCACAAACTGTAATAGCGGCACACTAAAGGGAAGGCATGGGTTTTGTCCCAGCTTGATTTCTCTCATAAGAGCTACGTTACTTCAGACACAGACTGCCACCGTTCCCCCAATACTGTACAATGGAAGTGAACTCAGGACACCTTGAAACACAAGGCTGCAAGCATGCCCCCCGGGGCCGCCTAGGCGCCCCATTCGCACTCCCAAGAGAAGATGACCCTCTGCGTTCTACCCCTGGGTATTTTCTGTCGACAGAATTACTTCACTCTACTGAGCAGAAACAGAACATCCAAGAAAAGGGTGGGAGAAAGAAGCAGGATTCACATTAACCATGTGCACTTTTCATATATCTCTCATGGCAGCACCACAGTTTCTAGACAATTCTCAGAAAACTAAGAGGTCACCGTTAGAAACTCTGGTTCAAGCACTAACCCTGCAAGTGACATACACTGGACAGATCTCTGACCACCAGACCTCAAGAAGAAACCAGAAGCCAAGAGAAGGTCTGAGGCCCCTAATACACACTGACAATCCCAG